TAGGCTTAGGCTTAGACTCAAGGTTAAACTTAGGCTTAAACTCAAGCTTAGACTTAGGCTTGGCCTTAGACTTACGTTATGGATTAGGCTTAGGCTTAGGCTTAGGCTTAGGCTTAAGCTTAGGCTTAGGCTTAGGCTTAGACTCAAGTTTAGACTTAGACTTGGCCTTAGACTTATGTTAAGGCTTAGGAGCACATTTGGGATTATGTTTCTTGATAGCCAAGGGCTCTAAGGCTTCGGCTACTGCTTAGGATTTGGTTAGCTCTAGGGCTAGGGCTAGGCCTAGGCTAAGATTCAATTTCAAATCCATGTCTAAGTCTTTGTTTAATTTTGAGCTCAAGCTGGTGTTAGGCGTTTGGCTCTTTTACTATAGTAAAGTTTAAAGTGATGTTACCATATAGTGTTTCCGGTAAAAGATAGCTAATTATAGCTAGCTGTGTTGTTAGCAATTTACCTAATTTGTAAACATTTTCTTACACCAAGCAACGTGACTAAAATTGTTTGCTAAACCTAAGAATTAATGATCAAGGAGGCTATTCAAAACAATTTGGTCTTTTAAATTTGTGAATTTTATTTGTAAAATACGATAATATAGACCGTTATAGCATGACCTTTTTTAAAAATTTTAATGACGTAAGATACAAGCATAAAGTTACTAAATATTGTCATAAAAGGCCAGTTTTTGATCTTTTTGTCTTTTAAAAGTCGCCAATAAGTGTTCAATGGCTGATAAAGTAATTGTTTACTACAACATTAACAGTTATGGTTGTTTCCGTTTGGAACGTTTCCATTACAGTAAGATGAGGCTATTTTAGGGATGGTTTTTGGTTTTTGGCTAATAGGATAGGGGAATGTAATTTAAAGCAATTCAAAACATTTTTTTGTAAAATACGGGTTACGAAATTGTTCGTATGTTAAGTTTTGTCATTCTTAAACCTTCGAACACAATAGAAAGGTTTTGTCGCCATTTTAAACAACATATCTTGCATAGTAAAAGACGGTTTTGCCATTTTAATACGCTAAAACTTGGAGTAAATAGACAACTTTGATGTGTAAAATATATTTTTTCGTTTACATAATCAACATGTGCTACAATAAACAAGAAGAATCATCACGTTTTCGATTACTTGCATCATGACCACGATGTCGTCATGCTGAATCGCGAGGTCTCGCAGAACTTATCGCTGATTGTTATCGCCAATTTTAATATTTGTTGTGAGCAATTAAATTGGGGGGGGAATGGAGTGACAAAAACATGGTGCAATAGGGAAGTAAAATGACGTTTTTTTGGTTTTAAAAACTTAAAAAAACTTTGCTACTTGTAAAAAAATTCTTGTCGTTTTGCGACGAGGAAAACCATGCAAATTGGCGACAAGACTTTTTAAATATTTATTATGACAAAAAAAGGCCAAGCCAAGTCTAGGGCTATAACTGTGGCTAAGGCTAAGGCTAAGGCTAAGGCTAAAGCTCAGGCTAAGGCTAAGTCTAAGGCTAAGGCTAAGGCTATGGCTATGGCTAAAGCACATGACTTTACTAAAGTTCTAGTGTACTATACGTGACGGATTTGCAAAGTTTGTTTACAGATCACCACTACAGTAAATGACTTTTGGTCAAAGATCAACGAAAAACTAGTGTAATATTAGAAAGAAAATACGATAACAATCGCTAAGTGACCTAAAAGCTAACGATCTATTGGAATCGAAACTAATGTTAGTCATCAGCAAAAATTTTTTTTTTGACCGTTTTAGCAAAAAACAGTTTTTTTTTTAAATTTTTTATAAAATTTAACATGAGGGGAGGGTTGAGCAGACCAAAAGCTAAAAATAAAATAATTTTTTTTGAGTTCTAGTGAACTTACGGTTAGTTATTAGTAAGTCTAGATTTATATTGTCATATTTTAGCACAATTTTTTTAAAATTTTTGAAAAAATTTTGAAAAAAGTCAACAGGGGTCCGACCAAGTTCGTCCATTTTTCAAAAATTTTTTTTCAAAAAATTTTTTTTAAAAATAAATTAAAAAAGTATTTCTAACATTAAGAAACTTATCACAACAAGACATAATCAAATTTACTGTAGTACCACCCCATACTTACTAATATTGTTACCTAAAATCCAAAGCTACAAGGTCTTCTCATTAAAAAACAAAGAAGCATTTTTTACACAAATTTACAACCAAACTCTATGAAATGGGTTTACAACGCCGTTGTTGAGTACAAGTTTCAACGCCATCTTTAAAAGTTGATATCAGCGAAACAATTCGGATACTCAAAGTTTTTGCGGTTTTCAACGAAATTCCCACCTTGTTTGTTTCGGTTTTTTGCTACGTTTCGGCGGGATTTAATGGACTTGGAGCTGTGAAATTAAAATTTGATGAGTATTAGAGATGCAACAAAGAAAAAAAAATCTTGTCGTCAATTTGCATTGTTTTGAGATAGCAAAAACAACAAAACTTTAGAACACAAAGCCATGGCAGAGTAGAACTAGGGTAGGACAGTATAGAGTAGACTACAGCCTTAGAGCTAGAGCTAGAGCTAAAGCTAGCCTTAAATGACAGTTTGAGCTAGGACTAGAACTAGAGTTCTGACTAGGACTCTGGGCAAGGCTCTGGGCTAGGGCTCTGAGCTAGGGCTCTGGGCAAGGGCTCTGAGCTAGGGCTCTGGGCTAGGTCTTCGAGCTAGCTGACCAACATCAAACCACATTGTTTTTTGATCACCAGCTGTTTACTCACCATGTCAGTTTCGGTGTCTACTCGCTTCACTGTTTACCTTCTACTGATAACAACCTTGTTTGTGTGTTTCAAACAAGCTGCGTACAGTTTTGGTGTTTGGCGGGTACATCGCTACGTCAAAACAAATATTACAAAACTAAATTTAGCGACGAAACCGATGATGAGAAACAAACAGACAATGATCTTTATATTATTGAAGTTGATAAAGTCTTGTCGTCGATTTGTATTGGTTTTAGTGGTAAAAAACGACAAGACTTTTTTTACATTTTAAAAATTTAAAAAATTAAAAAAATTTTTAAAAAATTTAAAAATTATGTTAGTCATCACTTTTGTCATCTATTTTCACCCATCATTGTCCTTCTATTTATAGAAGTAGTCGCGCAAATGAATCACATAGTAACCAACTTCCAGCTGATAACTCATACATTACATTTTGAAAGCTCAATAACATTATCAATAATAATATAAAAATCATTTTAAAAATACATGTGTATTTTGAAAACCTTTCGAAATGCGATAATCATGTCGATTACAACACAAACGCATTGTCGATTTATTTATTTTTAGTTTAAACTGGATATTAACCTTGTTTTTAGGTGTAAACAAGCAAAAACGGTCAATTTTGAAACTTTTTTTTACTTTTTGGGTAAAATAAGTACATAATAACTGATATAATAGCACAAAATAATACAATTGCAAAAATTAAATCTTTGTATTTTACCTATAATACTACAAAAAAAATTTAAAAAAAAATTTTTTTTTTTTTTGAATTTAAAATTTTTAGTTTCGAAAATTTTGTGAAATTTAAGACTAAAAAGCAAGACAAAGCTTACATGCATGTAAGCTTCTATTTGTACATGATATAAAAAACCAATTTCAAAAAAATTTTTAAATTGGTGGTCTACCACAATATAAATTGATGTAACAAGCTTAAACGGCTTTCAAACGAGACGTTTTATAACAAAAAATGTTTATTGATATCTTCTGATCACTACAATGTCATTTAAAAGCCATTACAAGTTAAGTCCAATTAATAGTGGCAGTTTAAACCAAGTCAACCTAATCTGCAAAAATTTTGATGTCATAGTATAATATAAATGGCTATATCTTCCTTCAATGACAAAGTAGATCAGAGATTTGTTAATAAAAGTTGTAGCTGTAATACCAGAGATTGTAAAAAATGTCATTTTAAGTTTGTCAGTTGTGTGTTTCTAAAGGTATAATCAAAAATGTCCAAAAGTGTCTACTTTTTTGAAATTTTGGCTGGATATAGAGTTACTTTTTGAATTTTTATAGTTTTTTGCCATTTTTAAACTGATGGCTTAACTAAAAATGCATGTTTTATATCCTAAAGATGATATTTAGGTAGTACAGTAAAGATGTTTTGATGTGATGACCCACCAAACCAACATATTCCTCATATAATAGAAGCTAAATTTCGGCTAAAACTGGCCTTATTTTTTATTTTTTGATGTTTTTTGCTATTTCTAAATTGATGTTTAACTTGAAAATACATTTTTTATATTTTCAAAACAATGATTAGTTAGCTAAGCAACGTCATTTTGTTGTGATGACCCATCAAGACCAACATATTCCTCATAACAGCTCATTAACCAACGGCATGCCAGCCAGAACCTTCTACGACACTCAAAACAACCTAAAGCACAAAACATTACACTACAAACCCTTCTAGCCCCAACACCGTCATGCTTGTGGTTTGTATTTCAATTTTGTAGCCATCCCGCCCGACCAGCCTGAGGCAATCGCACGGCGAAAGGGCGCACCATCGCTGATAAGAATGATGCAAGACGACTGATCAGAAGCGGCGTCGCTGCCATTTCAACGCGATTTTTTGGCGAACGAATCGTTGAAATGACCGGAAACTTGTCAATGAAACCCTTCGGAACAACATCGTTCCATCGTTCCACATTTGGGGTACGGTGGAAGTGGTTTCTGCACGGTGAGGCCAAAGGCTACTCGTCATAACAAGTGTGATTGATGACGAGCTGCTGGTTGTATCAATGATCTTTCAGGAATAAGAGTTCAGGTTTTGGTGGTGAAGTAGGGTAGGGTAGGGTAGGGTAAGGCAAAGATTTTCAATAAAAATGCAACTGATGATTAGTTGCATGGTACAGCCTAACACAACTTGTAAGCTTTTTTTATGTTGGCTTTTTTCCAAAGACAAGATGTATTGATTGATTATTGAATTATTACATCTTGAAGTCCAAGCAGTTTTTTTTATTTTAGTAGTGAAACTTGAACTTTCTGTGACCTTATTTTAGGTCTTGATAAGTAAAATTAGCTTTAGTCTTAGTTTTAGCCTTAGCCTTAGCTTTAGCCTTAGCCTTAGCCTTAGCCTTAGCCTTAGCCTTAGCCTTATCCTTAGCCTTAGCCTTAGCCTTAGCTTTAGCCTTAGCCTTAGCCTTAGCCTTAGCTTTAGCCTTAGCCTTAGCCTTAGCCTTAGCTTTAGCTTTAGCCTTAGCTTTAGCCTTAGCTTTAGCCTTAGCCTTAGCTTTAGCCTTAGCTTTAGCCTTAGCCTTAGCTTTAGCCTTAGCCTTAGCCTTAGCCTTAGCTTTAGCTTTAGCCTTAGCCTTAGCCTTAGCCTTAGCCTTAGCCTTAGCCTTAGCCTTAGCCTTAGCCTTAGCCTTAGCCTTAGCCTTAGCCTTAGCCTTAGCCTTAGCTTGACTCACCTCACTATACCTTATATAATAGTTTTGCTCATGCGACTTCAAAATCATGTTTTTGTTACCGTATCCGGCGGAAACAAGACCAAGTTTCAAGTTTACTGATAAAAAAAAAGTAAAAAATGAATCACGATAAACAACCACATGGACTGATAATGGATTGTACTCCATATTACAGCGACAAAAGTTATTGTGTGGTAAAAAAAAGTTATTTATGTGGAAAATATGTGAGAGAGAGGGGGAGAGGGATAGAGTAGGGTAGGTAGAGTAGAAGAGGATAATATAGGGTAGGGTAGAGTAAGGTAGAGTAAAGCGGGGGTGAGTAAGGTAGGGGTGGGTGAATAAAAAGAGTAGGGTAGGGAAGAGTAGGGTAGGGGAAAGTAGGGTAGGGTAAATTTAGAGAGAAAGCAGAGAAAGACGAGAGAGTATTGAAATTGAAGAGAGCGGCCAAGAAAAAACCGTTTTTTACAAAGAAAGTAGATAAATAGGTAACATTTGTAATTCCAGACCTTGAGACAGGTCATAGACCACTAGTTTATAAAAAATAATTAGAGAGTAAGGCTTTTGAAGAGAGTAGCCAAAGAAAAGGTGACAAAAACAGCTCAAAAACCTAAAAATCAGCAAAAAGACTTAAAATCTGCCATTTTAAGATACAGTTTATTTTAAATAATCAAAATTACAACATCAGAAAGCCCTGTAAGTTAAGATATTTCTATATTTTCTAAAAAAGTCTAAAATAAAATGGCAATTTTGCAAAAAAACGATAGTTGCATCATGATGTTATTGTAGCTGCCATCTGATGTAGAACTCAAAAACAAATAAATTAAATTGTAAAATAATGTGTGGGTTATGTGATCAAGATCATATTTTTAATAGTCATATTTGATAATCATCAAAACATTTACTACGAAACTAAAAATAAGTATTTTATTGTAATGTTGGGGTAATATATGTCTATATCGATTATATCTTGAGTAAAAAATGTTAAAATGAAATTTTTAAAATAGTTTTTTTTTCAGGGAGAAGTGTGAGTACTCGTATTTTACATCAAGTATTTGTACTTTATTTATTTTAAATGGTTGAAAAACAAGAAGAAACTAAAGTTTTGTCGCTTTTTTCTATTGTTTTTTAAAAGAAAATAACGACAAAAAGTTTTTTTTGTCTTAATATTAGAGTTTAAGCTTGGTTTTGCTATTTTTATATGCTGTAGGTCTATTTTTGCTTTTAGTTTTTAAATTTCAATGTTTTTTTCAAAATTTTTAAAAATTTTAAATTTCAAAAGAAAATTTTTTTTAATTTTAATTTTTGAAATACTTTTTATTTGCCATTTTAAATCACTATAAAACCATTTCTAAGCCCAAATTTAGCTCCAACTCCTTGCCACTTCCAAAAACGTTCGCCGTTCCGTTACCGTGGCGGCGCCGTTCCGCCGTTCCTCCACAACAGCCTGTTTTCCGGTGCATTTCGTGGACAGCGATTCGTTTCGTCGCGCGAGTGAATTGATTGATAAAAGAAACTGCATCATGCTTATGGAGAATAATGTCGTCGAAATGCGTCAACGACGAAAAACCAAATGGGAATGATGAAATCGACCGCCCGCTTTCCCATTCCATGACGTGACGAAGAGAGATGACGAACAGAGATTTGCATGCCCCTACCCTACCCTACCCTACCCTACCCCACCCCACCCCACCCCACCTTACCCTACCCCCACCCTATCCTACCCTACCCTCTACCCCTTCACTTACTAGGCCTCTTTACTTACCCTACCTCTTTAAAAATCTACCCCACTCTTCAAAAAATACCCTACTCTTTAAAAATCTTGTTTGCTCTTTTATAATTTACCCTGCCTTTTGAAAATCTACCCAGCCTATTAAAACTTCACTTTGAGTTCCAAAATCTCAATTTACCGTGCTCTGTAGAGCTTCGACATTTCAGTACCGTGCTATTTAGTTTATAGCACTACAACTTGTTTACGATTCATATAACACAACACAAACTGTCAATACTATTATTACCTTATAGTTTCCAAACCATTCTTACTCACACGGACTAACTTCCGTTGATCTCTTACTTTACTGCGTAATAAGAACGATGTAAACAGCACGTTCCAATTCCTAGACCACCTAACAAGCCTAAAGACCACTAGCCTCTGTTTACTCGAATTGATCAGTGAACTGTTTGGCTAATATGCTTCTTATTGTTTCTTATGACATGGTGATGATAAATCATTTCAAACTTTAATCAATTTTAAAATTTAAAAGTTTTGTCGTTTTTTCGCGTTAAAAATAGTGTCGGAAAACGACATGACTTTTTAATGCTTTTTTAAATCAAATTTTAAAAAAATTTTTGGTTTTTAAAGTATGAGCTAAGGTAAATAATGTCAGAAAAGATATGACAAAACCAAACCCTTCAAAAAGTTATGGCACAAAAAAGAAAATGTGACTAATTCAAGTCCCAAGAAGGCCCTTTAGGCTTAAACAAGGCTATAATAGGATTCGTAAAAACTTTTATTAAACTTAAAAATGTTTTTAGGCTTAAAAAACAATTTTAGGGTAAAAAAAGGATGTTTCAAGCTTAAAAAGTATAGTTTAGGCTTAATAAAAACCCTTTTAAAATTAAAAAACCCATTCTAGGCTTAAAAAAGGTTGCTTAGGCTTAAAAAGGACCGTTTTAAACTTTAAAAAGTCTACTTTAGGCTTAATATTGATCTTTTTAGGCTTATAAAAAGCCTTTTTAAGTTTAAAAAAAGGCCGTTTCAGGCTTAAAGAAACAAGTTTAGGCTTAAAATTGATCTTTTTAGTATTACAAAAAGCCTTCTTAGGCTTAAAAAACCGTTTCAAACTTAACTCAAACCTTATTTAGGCTTAAAAAAGACCTTTCCAAACTTAAAAATGACACTTTTAGGCTTAAAGAGAGCTACTCCAAGCTTACAAAAGGCTACCTTAAGTTTTAAAAAAGGCTATAATAAGCTTTAAAATCACTTTTAGCCTTAAAAAGAAGTATTATAGGCTTAAAACCAGTCATATGACGACCAACTTTTGGTCCCTGGTTGTTATGACCAAGTCTTTTTCAATGAATCAATTTGTTTTTCCCATTATTAACATATACATAAATCATCAACAAAAAAGGTTCGAATCTGCACGTTCTGTTGACTTCTTTGTTGTGATTGTTTCGTCGCTAAAATACGGTTTTTTGGCTATTTCTCTTGTCTTTCTTGCTTTTTATATCTTCCTTAATGTCTTTCATATCCATCAGCTTACTGTTTCTCCATTTATATCTGTATTTTGTTACCTAAACATCTGTTTTTATCTCTTTTTCATCAATCTTCAGCCATCTCTAGCCCCCTTTAGTCATATCTAAGTTCCTGCCATTCCTTTTTAGACCTCTTTTGCTGTCTGCCACTTTCAATCAACTACTATTTCCCACTTCTATAACCTCTTTATTAAAAAAATCTAAAAATTGATCCAATTCATTATATCGACCGAATTAAACAGTCATCAATCGACCCTCCCTCTCTCACTTGAACCTGATCCATCAACCAACTCAAACGTCAATAACAGCCCTATTTGTCGACTGATATTGTTGTTGAGCACGTCTCTTTTAGTAAATAAATAGTTTACTATTAGGGCTGGGGGTAAGGGGTAGGAATGGTGGGGGTTTGAGGTAGAGTTGGGGTATGAGTATAAAGGATAAGGGGGGGGTGGGTAAGAGTAGGGTTGAAGGGGAAAAGATGGGGTAGATTAGATTAGTGTAGGAGATGTTTTCTTAATTAAAATGAAATTTTAAAATTTTTTTTGCCCCTCTCTCAAAAAAATTTTTTACTCCCCCCCCCAAAAACTTTTTTTGATAAACAGGCTACTATCACCCCTTTTTTAATTTTTTATAAAATTTTTACCTTACCCTACGTTATCATACTCTACCCTGCCCTGCCAAATCCTACCTACCCTGCCATACCCTACTCTATTTTACCCTTCCATACCCTGTGTATCACTTTTTTTGAATTACCCCTCCTTCCCCTTGCCCCTTACCCCATTTTTTGTTCTTTCAAACCCCTACCCCTCCCCCCCTCAAATCCCCTGCCCCCTCTCCCTCTCAAACCCCTACCCCCAACCTCCTTCTTCTTCTCTTAAACCCGCACCCCCTCCCCCTTTCTTCTCTTAAACCCCTACCCCCTTCTCCCCGACCATCAATCTCCCGCCTTCGCCAAATTTCATCGAAACCCACGTGTGAAAACAATTTGGTGTCGTCAGCGTTATCAGTCGGTCGTCAGCGCTATCAGCCCGCGCCCATCCATCAACCCACCGACTCGCCGAGCCAGACGAAGCGAAAGACCATGCCGCGGGGTGGAGACGGCCGATTGGTCGATTGAAAGTTGGTCGCGTGGCGGCAAGCGACCAACTCGGATCAAAAAAAATTTTATTTTTCTCACGCTCTGCCACGCCCACCCCGTCCATGGGTTGATGATTCTTGATTCGCTGACAAAAAGATCAAACGTATTGTTTCCGCGGCGAGAGTAAAGGCGAGATAGTAGTGTAAATGAGGAGGTTTGGAGAGTAAAGAAGGGGAGATATTGATGTAGATGTGGGTTGTTGAAGAAACGTCAGAAATTGTTGTTTAACCGCAATTTTGTTTAATAAAATGATAATCATTAAGATTTTGTACTAAAAAATATATTTTTGAAGCAATAGTTTAGGTCTTTAAATTTAAAATGGCATGAAAATAGAATTGAAAGTAGAAAAAATATTTAAAAAATACATTAGAAGCCAAAATATAGAGCAAAAATGATAAAAAAAAACAGAAGAAAATAATAAAAAAGTAGATGAAAAAGGCAAAAAAGAAGAACATAATGCCTAAAAACAAGTGAAAAAACAAAAAAATTAAACAAAAAGGCCTAAAAATTACTTTTAAAAACTAAAAAAGAACTAAAAAAGCCAAAAAATTAAAATAAAATGCCACAAAAGTACCTTAGAAAGCCATAAAATCACATTATAAAGCCTAAAAATTAAAAAAAGATGACAAAAAGCTTCTCAAAATGCCTAACACAGTCTCCAAAACGCCTAAATTTTAAACCGTAAGCTTTATTTTTAAGCCTAAACCCACATTCTTAAGCCTAAAACCTAATTTTTAAGTTTAAAGCTTGATTTTTAAGCTTAAAGACTATTTTTTAAAGTCTAAGCCTTAATTTGTAAGCCTAATGTCTCATTATTGAGTCTAAGAGCCCAAGCTTAATTTTTAAACCTAAAGCCTAATTTTTATGTCTAAAACCAAATTTTTAAGCCTAAAGCGTCTTTTTTAAAGTTAGAATTTTGCATTTTAAGCCTAAAACCTAATTTTCAAATTTAAATCCTAATTTTTAAGCCTAAAGTCTTAATTTCAAATCCTAAACACTCAGTAGAAACTCTCGAACAATGCACATTTTAGCCGCATAGACTATAAACTAGATCACCCCGCCCGAACTAGCCGCGCCCCGAGTGCAGCCTTTGTTCTTCCAGGCAAAGTGGTCTGATCAGAGAGTGATTGGAAAGTGTCTGGACTCTCTGCTTCTTCCATTATCTCTAGTACCAATTAGCCTCTGGGTTCTCTTCTTGATGTTATACGTCTATGTAGCCCCACCCTAGCCCTACTTAGCCCTACCAAAACCTATTTCAATGATATGAAAGGCTAGTGTCTGCTCTCTCATACGTGATAGCACTCTCTCGGCTTTGTTTATCAATCATTTCATTCGATCAGTTTAAAGTTTGTCTGGCGTTTGGGCTCGTTTCAACGCTATAGGCTTGTGTCTCAAAATTGATTTCGCCGCCTTTAATGTGCTATTACGATATCATTTTGTGTATGGAGTTAACCCGCCCTTCCGCTGGCTTTTTCTCTAGCCATGCCTTATCTTATGTTTGGTAAGGCTTATCTTTCTCTAGCTGTTCTCTTTGAAGAGAGCGGTCTCTAAATTACGCTAGCTTTTTAATAGACTGCCTTGGTCCAAGCCTTAGCCCTAGCTTTAGCTTTAGCTTTATCCTTAGCCTTAGCCTTAGCCTTAGCCGTAGCCGTAGCCGTAGCCGTAGCCGTAGCCGTAGCCGTAGCCGTAGCCGTAGCCTTAGCCTTAGCCGTAGCCTTAGCCGTAGCCTTAGCCTTAGCCTTAGCCTTAGCCTTAGCCTTAGCCTTAGCCTTAGCCTTAGCCTTAGCATTAGCCTTAGCCTTACAAAATCCCTGCCTTAGCCTAAAACAAGTCTTACCTTACAATTGTTAGCCCTGCCATTGCCCTAAAAAAGTTCTTGCCATAGCCTTAAAATAGCCCTACCTTTTCTTGGCTTAGCCCTAAACTAGCCCACCGCTAGCCCAACTAAACTCTACTCTCTTGCATCCCTTTCCCTCTCTAACCTCCCTCACTGATCACCGTGTTCTCTTTCTCCGCTCTCTTCGATCACCCTTATCTCTCCACCCCTTCTCTTCCCGCTCTCCTCAATCCCCCTACTCTCCCACCCTTCTGATCATCATCTTAACAAAAAGTGGGTGGCTACGCACCCAGATTTCATCATGTTGACCCGCCAGCCGTCTTTCGGGGCGATTCGTTGAAACCGCGGCGCGTTTCGTTGTCCGATCAGTCTGCGGGGCGTGGCTTCTACCTTCTGCTCGGTTCGTCGACTATAAAAGGGCGCGGGTTTTGTGTTGAGCAATATCGCAATTACAATACAAATCTTTAGCTTGAGACTTTTCGAGTTTCGGGCTTAATTCGCTTTGCTATTAGCCTAAATTTACAAGTTTTGGGCTTGGTTCGCTAACTTTTCAAGACTTTTTTGAAGCTTGAACCCGCTACAACAGCTACAACTTGCTGAAACAGCTAAAACTTGCTACACAGCTACAAATTGCTACACAGCTACAATGTCGAGTTACTACTTTAGTCCACGACCCAAAAGTCTGGGTCCAGATGAACTTCCCCGTTCCCACTCGCTGAAACAAAAGAAGAGCATGGAACGGTCACGTCGTGAGGCCAGCTACGGCAAAAGCCCACTCTACGAGCTGTATGAGGCCTTGCCTTCGGTTTCACACGTTGTACCACGTGTGGTAAGTTGATTTTTTTTAAATTTTGAGTTTTTAAAAAAAATTAGAAAAAAATTTTTTTTTTTAAATTTTAAAATTTTTTAAAAATTTTTTAAATTAAAAAAAAATGACATTTTTTATAATTTATAGTTCATAAAAATGATTTTTCTAAAAATTTGTTACTTAAAAACCTAATTTTCCCCCTTTTGTTACCTAAAAACCTCATTTTTCACCTTTAAACCCTTAAAAATCAAATTATTTTAATTAAATTGCCATTTTCAACCCAATAAAACATATTTTTTTATTCCCACATTAACATAACTTCTTTACCTTTGCCATTCATTCCAAAATGACATTATTTTCCTTACCTGCCATTAGTAATATGACTCTATTTCAGCACAAACGTCGTTCGGAGAAACGTGAATGGGCTCCCCTCAAGGCTTCGAAACATGCCCAAGAGACCGTGAATCCAATCCGCAAGATCGCCGACAGTCTAGCCGTCGCCCCAAATCCAGCCAAATCAGCCATTAAACTGAACTTGGGTGATCCAACTATCACAGGAAACCTGCCCCCAAGCCAAGCCGCTATTGATGCTATCCATGAGATCATTGACAGCCACAAATACGATGGCTATGGTCCAGCTGTTGGCTCGTTGGAAGCTCGTGAGGCCGTGGTTGAGAAGTTCTCGACACCAGAAGCTCGCTTCACCGCCGACGATGTTATTCTGGCTTCTGGAGCATCACACGCTCTTGACATGGCTTTGGTGGCTTTGGCTGATCCTGGAGAGAACATCTTGGTACCAGCTCCAGGCTTCCCTCTCTACAACACTCTATGTCAACCAAATGGCATCCACACTCGCCAATACAATCTGAAGATGAACGATGGTGGACTTATTGACTTGGAGCACCTGGAGTCGCTGATTGATGCTGACACTCGAGGTATCATTGTTAACAACCCATCCAACCCGACTGGTGTTGTCTTCCCTAAGTACCATTTGGAGCAGATCCTGAAGTTGGCCTACAAGCACAAGCTCGTGATCATTGCCGACGAGATCTACGGTGACCTGACATACGATGGTGCTGTCTTCCACCCTATGGCCACATTGTCTCCAAAGGTACCAATCATTAGTGTTGATGGTATTGCCAAGAGGTATCTGGTGCCAGGCTGGCGTTTGGGCTGGGCCATTGTGCACGACAGGTACGGTGTGTTGACTGAGGTGAAGAAGGGAATGGTCGCTTTGTCACAGAAGATCGTTGGTCCATGTGCCTTGGTTCAAGGTGCTTTGCCTAAGATTCTGAGGGACACACCTCAAGAATACTTTGACAACATCAAGGAGGTCATTGCCAAGAACGCTGCCATAGTCTACGAAGTGCTGAGCCGAGTACCAGGCCTCAAACCCCTCCGGCCTCAAGGTGCCATGTACATGATGGTGGGCTTTGATAAGGACATTTTCGGCGAGGAAACCAAGTTTATGCAAGGGCTGATCACCGAAGAGTCAGTGTACTGCCTGCCTGGTTCGGCTTTCAACCTGCCCAACTGGTTCCGTCTGGTACTCACCTACCCGGAGGACGTGACTCGAGATGCTTGCGAGAGGATCAACGAGTACTGTCATAAGCGCCTGAGGCCTGTCAACTACTTGGCACCAAAGTTGAGCTTGGCTGTTGATGATGGTAGCGAAGGTACCATCTCCAACGATTCGGATTAAGATTACTGTAGTTTTTTGAGATCTACAGTATATTAGTGGTTTTCTACAGTATCCTACAGTCTTTTATATATTATTCATAGCATAGCATGTTGTTATAGCTTCTATATTATAATTTTTTAAAAACTTTTTAATATTTTTTGAGCTTATATTACACTTGACCTTTTAATGATACCCATCTTGTGAATTCCCTGCAATTCCATTTTAACTGATCCCAGCCAAATTTCAAGCATTTTTACGATATTATCTTTGGTCTGAACCTACATTTCTTACTGTATTTTTATAATTTTTTAAAATTTTTAAAAATATTGTACTACCTTAATATAGCCTCTACTTTTTATCATAGTATAATCCCATTGGTACCATTTTGTCATTTTGTAGTAACATTTTTCTCTTTTACAGTACCATTTCTTAAATTACAGTACCTGTCATTGAGCTTACCTACGATCTTTCGCTTAAGATTGTCACTTGTTTGTATATATGATAATAAATATTGGAAATAAACTGATAAATTATAAAACAATCGAGCATTCTTTGGTCCAAAAACAAAAGGCAAAGTTTACGCTTTAGTCAAAACAAAAGTGACAAATTGATCTTGTATTAGAAGGTTTATATTATAATAGACAAGTATTTCGGAATCATAGAAAATTGCCATAGCCTGAGCTAGTCCTAGCCAACATTGCCATTTATAAAGTTTTTTTAAAAGCATTATTCTCACTATGAAGGAAAGGTCATAAATTTCAAAAAAAATGGGCGTGGTAAATTTTTTTTTCAATTTGGAGGTAGGTTTTCAAATTTTTTGTATTAATCAAAAAATAGTTCAAAACATGTAATTATATTTAACATTTCAAAAATATTTTATCTTTATGTTTTTAATTGCACGGTGCAATCGTATTTTTGTTGCACCGTGCAATTTTTTCATATTGCAATAACTTTTTACTTTTTACTTTTTGGTCCAATGGTAAAATAGGTAAAAATTTTGTCATAAAATTGCAAAAGGGGCAGACACCTTAATATATTATCATATAAAGTTTAATTTTTGTCACCAAAAACCGTACTTTTAAATTATATTTTAACTGCACCGTGCAAACGCATATATATTGCTTGCACCGTGCATTTTTTTCAAATTGCAATAACTTTTTTGTGTAAATATTAAAATAGGTATAATTTTCATTATAAGTATACAAAAAGGATCTATACCTAAATATACTGTAATATCAAATTATACTTTTTGATCAAAAACCGCACTGTGCAAAATAATTTTGTTTGCACTGTGCATTTTTTTCAAATCGCAATAACTTTTTTTCCAAAAGTAAACTAGATATAAATTTTGTCATGAAGTTGCAAAAGGGGTAGATACCTCAATACATTATCATATAAAGTTTAATTTTTGTCATAAAAAACTGTGTTTTTATATTATATTTTTAACTGCACCGTGCAAAGCCATATTGTTTGCACTGTGCAATAAATAGACAATTATAGTTAAATATCACGTATTTTACTCAAAAATCCAATAATTTCAACTTTCAAAAGCTTTATCAATATTTAAAAAACCAAAAATTTTGTCACAACTGTATCCAAAAGTATACCGTATCACTTTAGTCATAGAAATACAGTATCCTGTGTCAATGTCTTTGAATCGGAATGAGTAAGTTGTTGAGAAGGCGGGGGCTGGCTGTAGCCGTTGGACGTGACCGCATCCGTACTCAACGACTCTTTTCGACCATTTGTCAGCTGGACTGACACACTTGGATCGGAACGGCGAACTGAAAGTCGAGAGAAGGCGGCCGAACCCGCTGAGCCCGATTTGCTCGGGAAACGATAGCGCAAGTGTCGAGAGTGACTAAAATTTGGATTATAGGTAAGATTATGAAGTTTTTTTAGATTTTTAGGTAACAAGACATGATTTTTTGATGTTTTAGGTAACAAAAATCCTATTTCTTGTATAAAATGAAACTTTTTCAACATTTTAAATAACAACAAATGGGGGTTTTAAATTTTCCTTCAGATTTTAGGTAACAAAAATGAATTTTCTCAAAATTTTAGGTATAAAACCAAATTTTTTTAGCATTTTAGATATAAAAATAAACCTTTTCAAAATTTTAGATAACAGAAAATAAAAATTATGCCAGACTTTTACCTAAGATCTTTAAAAACTTTTAAAATTTCAAACTTACCGACAAAACAGAACCCGAAAAGTGTCACGAAAGCTGCTCGACATGTAACAATAAATTGCGAAATTGATGGGATATGTTGCCTAAAATTATTGAAATTAGTCATTTTTATAAGTTTTTGACACTTTTTAATTATAAACTTTTAGATTTTGAGTCAAAAATCAAATTTTTAAAAAAATTTTGGGTCCCATAATGACATTGAAATAGAAAACATAGGGTTTTTATGGCTACAAGTGATAAAAATGGAAGTTTAATTTAAATGTGTATGTTTTTAGAACATATTCAACAAATTTTTAGATAAAAAACTAAAATTTTTACTTTTTAGGTCCCACCACGAAAACATCAAAACTGCCTTTTTTGTGTTTTTCAAATAAAAAATATTAATTGAAGACCACGTATTTTACAAAATAATATAACTCTTTTCCTTAATTGAAAAATTGCAAAAACTTTCTTTACAAAACAAAAAATGGCAAGAACTTTCTTTACAAAACAAAAAATAGCAAAAACTTTCTTTACAAAACAAAAAATGGCAAGAACTTTCTTTACAAACCAAAAAATAGCAAAAACTTTTTTTACAAACCAAAAAATAGCAATAACTTTCTTTACAAAACAAGAAACCCTCAAAACTTACCATAACCAGCATGTTGCTGACCAACATGAACGCCACTGGAAATACTCCAGTGAACAGATCGTTGTGAATGCCCAGCGTGTTACTTAAACACACCATGAGCATGAACACAGCTTGTGGTAGATTCACGACCAAGAATATGCTCACGACCATAACCAGCATGATACTGGTCGAGTTCGAGTCGGTTTGGCGTTGTGCTTCTCGAGCTCGCTTCTCTTTCAGTAGATGTTGCTTTCGTTTCTGAGCATTTCGAATGCCTCGAACTAGGAGTGCGTTCAGAATGGTCAGTAAAAAGCTGGGCAGTAGTATGAAGAAGAATACTCTAGTCATGAAGTACAGGTTGAAGAAGGTGGTGGGGCCGATTGAGGTGACTAGAGGCGTTAGGCCGCTTAGGCAACTTCTGAAACAAAAACTATGATGCGATTGTTAATTTACTCTACCCTAAAAATTTTAAAAGATTCTTTGGGTTCCACCACGAAAACATTAAGAATGCAATTTTCAGCGTTTTTGATGTCAAAGATCATATTAAGCTAACATAAAGCTTGTTTTTGTGACAGTTATTTCGCTGTACTCTACCCTACCTTACCATACAGTTAAAATAAAAATATTTTAAAGAATTCTTTGGGTCCCACAACGAAAACATTAAAAAGTTTATTTTTCTGTTTTTAGATGCTAAAATTCATGTGAGCTAACCTAAAGTTGAAATTTCTTCATTTTACGGAAATTTTAGTAAATAATCAATAGTGACACTCCGCAACAATAATATAAAAAGTTGTAAAATGTTAAAAAAGTGCATTTTAAATTCTATTTTCAAATTTAAAACGCTTTTTTAAATTTGTAGTGTTTTAAAATTGTGCTGAAAACCAATTTCTTAAAACAAAAATTAATAATTGTATGTATTTGGACCGCCATACGTATTTTACATAATAAAACTAAAAAAAATAAATTTTAAATGCTATTATTAGATTTAGATTGTTTTTTTTACAGTATTTGCTATGAGAAAATGATGTAGAAAACCGACATTTTTAAACAAAGAATCAATAGTGACATAACGTCCTCACCCGTATTTTACCAGAAAAACATTAGAATATAAATTATTATTTTTCTTATCAATTCTTATTTTTAAAAATAGCATAAAAAATAAATAATCAATAGTGACGTTTTTTTATTTTTTTTATAAAAAAATTTTTTTTTATACCAAAAAACTGTCAAAAAACTAAAAATTTAGCCAAAAAACGGTTAAAATTTTTCAAAGTTCTAAAAAAAACTTAAACTCATACCGTTTATACACCCATGTCTCACTCCGATCAAAGATCCACCCTTCGTACACATCGTAATACAGGTCCATGCTCTTTGGTAGACCACATAGAACACATACTAATGTGATCACAGCCGTGCATATTCGCACGTTCTTCACGCTACAGAGTTGTCGTGAACTTAATGGATACGATATGGAGATGTAACGTTGACCGGCCAAAAGTACAGTAAGCCACATGGCAATGTTGTGGAATACTGGGGGTATGGCGTCCATTGAGTACTTGTACATGTAGCACCACCACAGCTCCAGTTGGTCTTCGTGTTCGTAGTTTCTGAAGTATAGTGGTACTGGTGGAACATATAGTATAGTACCTATTTTTACATACCCTACCTTTGACTTACTTTACTGAGCCTTGCCTTGCCTTGCCTTGCCTTGCCTTGCCTTGCCTTGCCTTGCCTTGCCTTGCCTTGCTTAACCCTACCCTTGTCTTACCTTACCATTGCCTAACCCTACTCTTGGTTTACCCTACCTATGTTTTACCCTACTCACGCCTTACTTCACCTATGCCATACTCAACCCATGCCTTATCTCTACTTTACCTTACCTTATTCATGCCTTTCTCTTATCTTGTCTTACTTTTGCCTTATCCTAACCATAACTTTTCCTACTCTCATTAACCACCGTATAATTCTCTGTAACTTACTTCAACGTATGATAGAAGAAATTCCATGGTAAAGGTATAATACCGACACACAAGTCAGCTACAGCCATGTATTTTAATACCACGTTTGTTGGTGTTACCATGTGTCTTTGTGACAGCACTAGTGCTACCATTACATTGGCTATGGCTACTAATAGCACTAGAACAGGGAAGAGCTAAAACAAGGTTTATATTTAAAATGTCATGACTTATACATGTTAGTTTACTATAGTACTCAAAGCAGTAATATAGTATCTTATGTTATAACATAGCACTCAAGTTAGTACTGTATTACCTTATGTTGTAATATAGTACTCAAAGTAGTGCTGTAGTACTTAAAATTGTATTATGAAAACATCATAAAGTTTTGTCGTTTTTTATTATAAAACTCAATGCAAATTGACGACAAAACTTTTTTTACCTCTACATGTGTTTTTAAAAACCATAATACGGTATCAAAAATAGTACTACTGCATCTAAGGCACTTTTTATAGTACTTACATGCCCATAAACAAAGTGTTCAAGCTCCATATTCCGGCCAAAGCTTGAGAACTCGAGATCGTACACGCATTTCTGACCACAAGCATCGTAGAATGACCCGAATTCCACCGTAATACATCGTACTGCAGCTTCGTTAACATCCGACGATGTTATCGAACAGTTGGGTTGAGTTTGGTTTGGCAACATTGAGACATATACGACTTTACTTTGGAGTTGTAGTTGATTGTAGTATAGTGTAGTAGAGCTATGATAAGGTTAAGGTAGAGGCTAGAGTAAGACTAGAGTAGGATAAGGTAATAAGCAACGTGAAACTCACTGACAATACAAACTCAACTACCCAAAGTAAGTAAAATTAATAGATTTCCCACTCGTTAACTCTACTACAACATAAAATTAGAGTTTGACTACAATAACTTTATAAAGTAACATACAATGAAAAGACTACAATTATATATCACAGTGGTATTTCAGTAGATATATTTAGAGTATCGTGCAGATGCACATTTGACTGTCTTTTGCCTGAAAGTATGATAAGTTGAGTTACTATAGTAAATTGTTTATAATCAACGTAATATTATACGATAGTAGTTCAAACAGTAAAAAAAGTGTAGATTATAGCAAGAATAAGGTAATGCAAGGGTAAGATAACCCATGGGGAGAGTAAAGCATAGTTAAGGTGAAGAAAGAGTAGAGCAAGGCAAGGGAAGGGTAAGGATATGGCATGAGTAGAGTAAGGCATGTTCAGAAAAAACCATACACAAGGTAAAACATGCATGGAATAAAGCACGAATATAGTATGGCATGGGTATTGTAAGGCATCAGTAAGATAAGAGAAGAGAAGGGTATGACAAGAGTAAGGAAAGAGATAGGTAGGTTAAACCATTAGTCAAGTAAGGCAAGCGTAGGGTAGGGCATGGATAGAATTAAAATTGGGCAGTATAAAGCATGTGTAAAGTAAGGCATAGGTAGTGTAAGGCATGGGTAAAGTCAGACAACTAGGGTAAGACATGGATAGGGTAATCATAGATAGAGTAAGGCTTTAATAGGGTAAGACATGGGTAGGGTAAGGCATCAGTAAAATAAGGCAAGGGTAGAGTAAGGCACGGGTAGGAAGGCGCAAGGGTATGATAAGGCATGGGCAGAATAAGGCATGGGTAGAGTAAGGAATGAATAGAGTATAGCATGGGTAGGGTAAGAAATGAATAGAGTAAAGCATGGGTAGGATAAGGCACAAGCTGGGTATAAAGGAATGCATTTTAAGGACGGAGTAGGGCTTTAATAATTAAAAATTACAATAGTAAAACCTTTAAAATAACAAATTATTTCAGTAACGTAAAATAAAAAGTATTCACAGAGACATACTAAAAGCTCAAGTACTTAATAGTATCTGTCACCCACAAGGTTAAGTACAACCACTCTTTCAGAAGTGTTTTTTACTTTTTAAAATACAAATAAAAGTACATGATTAGCTTTAAAACTAAAAAAATTTAAAAAAATTAGTTTCTATTTTCTAGTCTAGTCTAAAAATGACCGGTCGGGTCATGAAGTTGCGTGACTATCAGTCAACCCCCTCAGATTTTTTACCCTGCCCAAAAAAAAATTTTTTTTTGTCTACCCTTCACCCCTCTTCACCTCCCACCACTATCTAAAAGATTTCAAAAATTCCATAAGACGCCTCCCCTCCCTGTCCCTTCCCCCCCCCCTCACCCTTCCGCTCCTGCCCTTATAAATCAAAGCGAAACGTAACAATGACATGGCAACTTGAAAAAAGTGGCCGAAATGCTCAATTTCGATGGAAAAATTGCTCAATTAATGGCTAATGAGTAGCGGATTTCCCCATTTTTCCGACTAAACAAATTCGAAACCCTCAGGCTGGAAACGTGAGATTATGACGAAGACAATAAGTTCAGACGAACGCTTGAAGAGTGTTACGTCGTAATGCATAATTCGACCAAAATTTGTTTTTTTAAATTTAAAAAAATTAAAAATGTCGCACTATCCTACCCTACCCTACCCTACCCTACCCTACCCTACCCTACCCTACCCTACCCTACCCTACCCTACCCTACCCTACCCTACCCTACCCTACCCTACCCCTACCCTACCCTACCCTACCTACCCTACCCTACCCTACCCTACCCTACCCTACGCTACCCTACCCTACCCTGCCTTATTTTACCCTATTCTACTGGGACCAAGCCCCAGCCTTCCCCTGCCCCAGATTTACCCAGCCCTAACTTTCCCTGCCTCAGATTTACCCAGCCCAAGATATACCCTGCCCTAGATTTACCCAGCCTTACCCTTCCCCTGCCCCAGATTTACCCAGTCCTAGATATACCCTGTCCCAGATTCACCCGGCCCCAGCGTAACCTTACCTTACACTTTTGCCTTACCTTATGCATGCCCTATTTTGCCCTACCTTACCTTATGGTGTCCCACTTCACTCTACAATACAACGTTAGTCTGCTTTTAAAATCCGCCCAACCTCTTATAATCTACCCTAGTCTTTAAAATTTATTTTATTTTGCTTAAAACTTTAAAAATTTTTAAAAATATTGATCTACCCTGCCCAAAATAAAAAAAAATTAAAAATATTACTCTACCCTGCCCAAAATAAAAAAAATAAAAACCCAAGCCCCCTCCAACTTTTCGGTTAATTACAGCTCAACTAACAACTCTCCAGTCAACCCGAACCTATAAAAGCAGCCACATGTGTCATTAAAGAGGTCTCCAGCTCAAGAATGTTGTCACAACCTTGGAGTTATAATTTATGTTATTGTTAAAGCGGTAGCATGAAAGATGAGCCAACTGCTCTAAAGCACTACAAATGATGTCTAGGGCTATAAAAAAAGAAAAAACGGGGGGGGGGGGGAGAGAGGGGGAGGCGAGTGAAGGTTCAGCTGTAAGAATTGCCAAATATTATAAAAATTTAAAACACATTGAAAATGTACCCTGCCTTATAAAAATCAACACAAACGTAAAAAATCAACCCTAACTTTCTAAAATTGAACTTACCTTTTGAAAATCTACCCTACACCTTAAAAGTCTACCCTAATCTATATAAACATCTTTTACTTTATAAAAATCTACTATACTCTTTATAAATCTACCCTATCCTACAAAAATCTACCATACTCTTCACAAATTGACCCTGTTCATCAAAAAGCAAACCCTACTTTTTAAAAATAAACCCTACCTTCTGGAAATCTACTCTACTTATTAAATATTGACCCTACCTGATAAAAACAGCCCTTAGTTTTTAAAAATTGCTTTTATTCTATACAATCTACCCTGCCCTTTCAAAGTCGATCCTTTCATATAAAAGTCAGTACCTTCCTTTGAAAATCTACACTACCATTTGAAAATTGACCTTACACAATGAAAATATACCCTAATTTATAAACATCTACCCTACCTTTTTGTAATTAATCCTATTTTTTTAAATCTACCCCTATCTGTTAAAAACTACCCTTACGCTACAACAATTTACCTGCTTTTTACAAATCAACCCTATCATTTACAAATCTACCATACTCTTTAAAAGTCTGCTCTACCTTTTAAAAAATCTACCCCACTCTAAAAAATTGACCCTAACTTTTACAAATTGATCCTAACCTTTAATAATCGACTATACTCTTTAAAAGTTGACCCTGCTCTTTATAAATTGATTCTGCCTTTAAAAAATCTACCTTACCCCTTAAAAATATCAAATAGTCAAAAAAACAGATCTACCCTTTAAAAAACAAAAGTACCTTTTAAAACTTACAGTACTTTTTAAAAACCTATCCTACTTTAAAAAAATGACCTTACCCCATAAAAAATATACCATATATTAAAAAATGTTACCCCACTCAACAAAAAATGACCCTACTCTACAAAAACAAACAGTTTCAGCCCTGTACTCTTATAAAAAACCCCTGCCCTTCACAAAGCAAGTTGAGTGATTATAGGTAAGCAGATTAAGCCCCCAAACTGGCGTAAAACGGATTCTCGGACGGAAGGAGGAGGGATAAGTTTACGGAGCTCTTCCCAAAATGAGTAGCAAAAAGTTTTGTGGCCAAGAGGAGGGGGGGGAAAGAAGGATTTTGCCACAAAAAAGTAAAAACAGATAAAAAGTCGAGGAGGAGATGGGTATCAAAATGATATGAGTACTAAAATAGCACCAAATTTGATTAGTGACCTGTTTTGAGTTGGGCTTCAGGATTCTGGGTTTTGAGGCAAAATGGCAGTTATTTGAAGATTTTGCGACAAAATGACGTATACTTCAAAGTTTGTCGTCGGGAGAAAAAACATAGTTTTTAGGCTAAAATAAAGTAACATAGGGCTATTGCTTAGGCTAGAACTAAGACTAGAATGAAAGCTATGACAACTAGAGTTAGAGCTAGAGCTAGAGCTAGAGCTAGAAAAATGACCCGCCCAATAACAATATTCTATATCAGTATCATAGACACGTTAAAAATATCTTTTTTACCCCATAACGTTTATTCAATATAAAATAACTACCAAATAAAAGTTGAAATGCTCATTTCGAACTGAATTGCCAACATTTCAAAGATTTGAGGCTTTTTAATGTCATTCTATAAACTGGCCTCTAAATTGCACTAATGTGGTAGAATTTAAATTTCAAAAAAAGTTAGATTTTGAAGTTGAAAAAATATTGATTGCCTTGCCTTGCCTTGCCTTGCCTTGCCTTGCCTTTCCTTGCCTTTTCTTCCCTTGGTTTGCCCTACCCATACTTCACACTACCTTACTCTTGCCTAACCTTTTGCTCTGCTCTGACCTACTTTAGTCTTGCCTCCTCCTCTCCCCTCTCTCTTAACCATGCCCTTTGAAATCCTATGTTGCCCTTAAAAAACGGCCTTCTTCTTTGCAACGTTCCCTAGCCTTTTTAAAATACGTTTTGCTTTTTATAAATTACACTGCCCTTTCTGATCGACCTTGCTTTCATATTATCTACCCCTTCTTTTTCTAAATCAACCCTGCTCTTTAAAAATTTACTCCGTTATAAAACACTCCACTGTTATCACAAATACAAATACCCTCCCTACTATTACTATTTGGTGCCGACGTAAAGAACCTGCCATTTTTTACAGACAATTGCAGGCAACGTATGGCGGGTTCTTTATGTCGGCACCTAATATCAAGCTGACTCTTGCACATCCTACTCTGCTTTGGTTTACATTACCCCATCTAACCTTTCTTACCCTTAAGTGTCTAAAAATTTAAAATTAAAAAATTTTTTTTTCGTTGAAAATTCGACAATTGTCAAATACAAAAATCATTTTACAAAACGTGAATATAACAATTTAAAAGTGCTAATAACGAAAAATTTTTCGAGTTTTTGTTTCGGGTCGTCATGAGCACCAAATTGGACTTTGGCTCTTTCAAAATATCAAATTTGCAACAATGACAAGCCTTTTTGAATAAAATTTTGTATTTCGCACATTTTACTAGATTTATGACGTTTTTTTTTAATTTTTAAATTTTTTTTGCTATTTTGATAAACCTCGTCACAATTTTTTAAGTTTATAGCCAAGGAGTCATAAAAATAAGGTCATATGAACTTAGGGAGACCAAGTAATGCCTGTTTAAAAAAAATTATTTTCTACCCCACCCTACCCTACTCTAACATACTCTATCCTACCTTACTCTCCCCTATTGACCAAATACTATTACTTAAATAAAAAAATTTTCAATTTTAAAAACTTAATTCAAAAATTGTCAAAATGCCATTTTATATTGACATAAAAACAAAAAATGAGACATTTGCAAAAGATGCCCTTTAAAATAGGTAATAAATAAGGCAAATAGTTATTTACGAGTTAAAGGCAAAGTTAGTAACGGTTTATTTTAAGAGGCTCCCCCCCCCCTCCTTCTTATTTTGAGCTACTTGAAAATGGCCACGAAGAATTCGTTTACAGAATTCGAGAAGCAAAGGGAAAGTTGGCTGGACTAGAAATTTGGAATTTGAAAACAATAATTTTTAATTTTAAAATTAAAATCTGTTTTTGCGTTTACTGGAATAAGGTTTAAGCCTAAGTTTCTTTAGATTTTATGAGACTTTACATAGTTAGTTGACTTAGGTTTAGTAGGGTTAAGCTTAGTAGGTTCAAGCTCAGGCTTGGCAGTCTCAAGCTTAGTAGACTAATGCTCAGTAGGCTTAGTAGGATTAGACTTTGTAGGTTAGGATATTTGGGTTAAGCTTAGTAGAAATAAAAATTGTAAGTTTAGTAGGATTAGGCATACTAGGTTTAGGTTATGAAGAGTTAGGCTTAGTAGGTTTAATAAGCTTAGGCAAAATACGCTTAGGCTTAGTAAGCTTGAGATAAGTAGACGTTGGCTTAGTAAGCTAAGGCTTAGTAGTCTTGGGATTAGTAAGCTTATGTTTAGTAGGCTTAGGCTTAGAAGGCTTATGTTAAGTAGGCTTAGGCTTAGAACGCTTATGTTTAGTAAGCATAGGATTAGTAAGTTTAGGATTAGTAGGCTTAGGCTTAGTTGGCTTAGGCTTAATAGGCTTATGCTTAGTAGGCCTGGGCTTAGTAGGATTAATAGGCTTGAACTTAGTAGGCTTGGGCTTACAAACCGTCGGCTTACTCGGCTTTTTTTTAGTAGGCTTAGGACCTTTAAGCTATAAACTAGCAGGTTTAAGCTTAATAAGCATTGACCTATTAGGCTTAGACTTGTTAATTTTAAAATTCTTTTTTCCCCTCTGACTGTCCCCATCCCCCAGCCCCCCCCCCTCCTTCCGCTCCCCCTTTAAAAAATGTAATTCATAATTTAAAAACTTTGAAATAACAGGACAACAACAAAGCCAAGTGTTATTCTTACCCAATTTTTTCTTCCCAAAATGCGCAGCCAAAACGTCAATCAAGCCGCGCGAAGTAAGCAAAAACATATTGTTGGCCCATTAACAAGTATAGATAGGGTCGAAATGGCAATTCGTCATATTTTTTAATATAGTACGAAAGTCTTAAAAAGTCCTGTCGTTGATTCATATGGTTTTTAACAGCTCAAAACGACAAGACTTTATAACCTAATTTTTTACCCTACCCTACCCTACTACCCTACTACCCTACCCTACTACCCTACCCTACTACCCTACCCTACTACCCTACCCTACTACCCTACCCTACTACCCTACCCTACTACTCTACCCTACTACCCTACCCTACTACCCTACCCTACTACCCTACCCTACTACCCTACCCTACTACCCTACCCTACTACCCTACCCTACTACCCTACCCTACTACCCTACCCTACTACCCTACCCTACTACCCTACCCTACTACCCTACCCTACTACCCTACCCTACTACCCTACCCTACTACCCTACCCTACTACCCTACCCTACTACCCTACCCTACTACCCTACCCTACTACCCTACCCCTACTACCCCTACCCTACTACCCTACCCTACTACCCTACCCCTACTACCCTACCCCTACTACCCTACCCTACCCTACTACCCTACCCTACCCTACTACCCCTACCCTACTACCCTACCCTACTACCCTACCCTACTACCCCTACCCTACTACCCTACCCTACTGCCCTACCCTACTACCCTACCCTACTACCCTACCCTACTACCCCTACCCTACTGCCCTGCCCTACTACCCTGCCCTGCTACCCTACCCTACTACCCTACCCTACTACCCCTACCCTACTGCCCTGCCCTACTGCCCTACCCTACTGCCCTACCCTACTACCCTACCCTACTACCCTACCCTACTACCCTACCCTACTACCCTACCCTACTACCCTACCCTACTACCCTACCCTACTACCCCTACCCTACTACCCTACCCTACTACCCTACCCTACTACCCTACCCCTACTACCCTACCCCTACTACCCTACCCTACTACCCTACCCTACTACCCTACCCTACTACCCTACCCCTACTACCCTACCCTACTACCCTACCCTACTACCCTACCCCTACTACCCTACCCTACTACCCTACCCTACTACCCTACCCTACTACCCTACCCTACTACCCTACCCTACTACCCTACCCTACTACCCTACCCTACTACCCTACCCTATTTTACCCTACTTTATATTTTTTGGGATTTTACCCTCCCCAACTGTATTCTTTTATATTTTACCCTGCCCATCTTTATTTTACCCTGCCCAAATTTACTTTACCCTGTCCAACTTTATTCTGTTATATTTTACCCTGCCCAACCTTACGCTGTTAGATTTTACCCTGCCCAACTTTGGTTTGTTAATTTTTACTTCGCCTAACTTTTTTCTGAGACATTTTACCCCGCCTTATCCAACAACCACCAACAAAGGGTACCATTTGACCCACTATTTGTTGTCATCAACCCGTAATTTTAGCCACATTCCTCCTAACTCAATCAGCCCAGCTGCCATATTGCAGCCGCTGAAATGTCAGGACTTCATAATATGCCCTAAAGCAATTTGAGCACTTTGCGCGATAATGTATTTACCACCGCCTCGGACAAAAGTTTCATTTGACAGCCTTAACAAGAGGCGGATATCGGATAACAGACACCAGTATTACTAATATACCATCGGTTAATTGTAAACATCATTACTAAGCGGGTGGGGAGGGGGGGGTAGATTAGGCTTGGACTTAGAGCTAAGTGGGTATCAAGGCTTGGACGTAGGCTTAGATGGGTGTCAGGGCTTGAAATTAGGCTTACACGAGAACCAGAATTGGATGTAGGATGAGGTAGGTAGAGGATGGGGGGGGAGTGAAAGGCATGGTAGATTTACACCCCTAAAAATTTTTTTTTCGAAGAAGATGGCTCTTTGTCAAACTTTGAAAAAAAAATTGCTTCCCCCTTGTTTTTTACCCCCCCCCCTCTTCTTTTTTCACCTTCCCCCCACCCTCCCTCTTTTTTTCACCCCCCCCTTTTTTTTCACTCCCCCCCCCCTTACGTCCTCTCCTAAATTTTTTTTAAAGGAATTGAGCATGGTTTCCTTCTCTCCGCCATCACGATCAAAATCACTCAGCCGCTAATGATTAATAGTACTCATTGAATACACACCAAACTTGCACTCTCAATACCAATACTAAACAATATTATAACGGCAAGGTTAAAAATAGGTAATAATATAATTAAAATAAAGATTGGAAAAAAGATTATGACAAGATGCGAAAATATTGCTTTATACGCCGATTATTAAAAAAGTGTTAAGTTAGTACCATTAGTACGATCCGAATGACTCTTTTTGTTTTTTTCCTTTGCTTGAGCTTCCAACTTCTTTTTCACTTTGTTGATCAGCCAGGTCTTTTGCTTCTGAAATCAAAAAAAATTTTTTTAATTTTAATTTCGAAAGATATATAGATGGAACTCGAAAAAAAACTTAAGCCTAAGCCCTAGCTCTTAGGTATGAGGAACAGGTCGGCCTCGAGCTAAATTTAGATCGGTCTGAGCCTAAAAATCAAAGCCTGGCCCGTTGCCCGTAAAACAATTTGGGCCGGATAGGGCCGGCCTACGGTAAACATGAAAACCGGCCGGGCCTTAATCTTGTGCTTAGAGTCCGGACCGATCTTCAAATTTAGTCCCAGCCCGTTTCTTATTCCTACTACTTCTAGCTCTAAATCTAGCTTTATGTAGGTCTAGCTTTAGTTTTAGTTTTAGTTCTAGTTCTAGTTCTAGCTCTATCTCTAGCTCTAGCTCTAGCTCTAGCTCCAGCTTTTGCTCTAGCTCCAGCTCCAGCTCTAGCTCTAGCTCTAGCTCTAGCTCTAGCTCTAGCTCTAGCTCTAGCTCTAGCTCTAGCTCTAGCTCCAGCTTCAGCTCCAGCTCCAGCTCCAGCTCCAGCTCCAGCTCCAGCTCCAGCTTTAGCTCTAGCTCTAGCTCCAGCTCTACCTCTAGCTTTAGTTTTATCTCTATCCTTAGACTAAGCTGTTAGGAAGCTTACTTGTTTCCGTTTAGCTGATCGTTCGAATAGTTCTTGGAGTCCCTTCTTCCTTAATGACGTTTTGAATCCGATCAATGGCAAACTGACCGGAAATCTGTAGCGCTCGCCTTCGCGGTTGGCTTTTGGCTTCTAGACTTCTTTTTAAATAATTGAAATTTAGGTATTTTTTTCAAATTTTAGGTAACAAAAAAGGTTTTTTTAATTTTAAGTAACAAAATTTCTATTTTTTAAAGTTTAAGTAACAAAAAATTTATTTTTTTCAAATTTCAGGTAACAAAATCTTATTTTCCAACTATAAAAAACAAGAAAAATTCAAAAAATACAAAAATTTTATTTTTCAAAACAGATATGATTTAATGAAGTTCCTCGGTGCTGACGGTGAGAAGCAGGTAGGGAGTGCGGCTGTTTCGGAAATTGGCGACCAGCTCTGGAGTAGCTCTTTGAAGGCCCTGAAAATTAAAAAAATTTATAGCAAAACTCATTTTTTTTTCAAAAACCAATTTTTTTAAAAAAATTAAATTTTTTTGTGAACCAGTCCAGAGCTGGTCCACTTAACCAAAAAACAACCAAATTTTAAAAGTATGCTTTTACTCTACCCTACCTTACAGTAAAAAATCGAAAAACAGATTTTGATTTTTTTAAAATTTTTAAAATTAAAAAAAAATTTTTTTTAAATTTTTTAAAAAATTTAAAAATTTGATAAAAACCTTACCACCTCGTCGTCCACCATGAGTCTGCTTGGTCTTTTGTTCAACTTGTCCTTCATGTGCTTGACAAAGTTCTCGTGGTTCTTTGGTCGGGCCTTCCTCTGAAAATATTGAGTAAGTTTAGGAATACTAGTGGTAAGCCTAAGGTTTACTAATATAAAGCCTACTGTGCCTACGCTTACTAACTATAAGCTTAAGCCCGGCTCTACTACGACAAACTCTACTAAGCCTAATTACTAAAATTAAGCTTATTAGTCTTAAACCTACTAAACAATTGATCAAATTTAAGCATGCTGAGTCTAAGCCTAAGCTTACAGGGCTTAAACCTAATGAGCTTAAAGTTGCTAAGCCTAAGCATACTAATATAAAGCCTACTGTGCCTACGCCTACTAAACTTAAGCCCGAGTCTACTACGACAAACTCTACTAAGCCCAATTGCTAAACTTAAGCTTATCAAACTTAAGCCTAGTTAAAGATATTGATTAAGCTTAATTATGCTGAGTCTAAGCCTAAACTCAATAAATCTAAACGTACTAAGCTTAAGCTTGCTAAGTTAATATTACTATGCGCAAGCCTAATAAGCCTACGCTTAGTAAGCCACTTTTAGTCTTGCCATTTTATGTTTTGTAAAGAAAGTTCTTGCCATTTTATGTTCTGTAAAGAAAGCCTGCACCAAATAAGCCAAAGCCTACTAAGTCTAAGTTTACGAAAAACTAAGCCTACGAAGTCAAGTTTACTAAGCCGTAAAACTTACCAATTTCTCGTTGATGTCATTGATCAATTGGGTGTTGTTCATGATAAACAGATCACTGGTGAATGGTATTTCCATTGAAACAACGCTCAAATCGAAAATGTCAGCAAACGGATCGTCACCAGCTACAAAATTTTTTTTATTTTTTAAATTTAAAAAAAATTAAAAATTTTAAAACATTGCACTGTGCAATGCTCAAAACCGGCTTTTAGACCGTTTGCACGGTGCAAAACTTTAAAACATTTTAAAAACGTAATTTTGATTCTCCCTAAAGCGTTTTCAACGTTTTGTTATTACCCCACCCTACTTAATAAACAAAAACTTACCGTATACCCATGAAACGTTGACGAGCACGATCAATATCAAAATAGACCGCATCATTTTTCTCTCAAAAAATACGTCAAACCAGCTCGATACAGCGGAAGCGAATGAAATGAAAAAAAATTTTAAATTTTTGAAATAAAGTTTGAAAATCATGCAAATTTTTCACTTTTAATTTCATTTTGACAACATAAATTTAAAAAAAAATTTTATTTTGAAATTTAATCTATACGTTTTGTGTTTTGTAACAATGGAATTAGGCTTGGATAGTTAGTAGGCTTAGGTTTAGTAAACTTAGTTTTAGTAAGTTGAGGCTTATTAAGCTTAGTTGTTAGGCTTAATAAGTTTTGAATTATTAGATTTACGTTTAGTAGTCTCAGTCTTAGTAGACTTAAGCTTAGTAGGCTTAAGTTTATTAGTTTTAGGCTTAGTAAGCTTAAGCTTAGTAGGCTTAAGTTTATTAGTTTTAGGCTTAGTAAGCTTAAGCTTAGTAGGCTTAGAATTAAGGTTACTAGGCTTACGCTTAGTTCTGTCTAGGTTTAGTTTTAAGCCGAAATTCAGTCTTAAAGTCAGTAGGCTTAATTTGAAAATTCATAGGCTTAAAATGCATAGACTGACTACTCTTAATCTTTACAGTCTTAGGATTAGCATGCTATGATCCTTAGTAGCCTTGGGCTTAATACATCTAAACCTTTATACAAAAACCTACTACAAATTTCTTTTATAGTAGTATATTTTATTGATCGCAATAAATGGCACAATGTTAAAATCTCCAGTAAAACGTCGAACAATACTCTGGAATGGTGAATAATATTATGGTAAAAGAGAGAGAATAAGAGGTGGCTTTGGTTGATCCTCAGGCGTATTATTACAATTTTTCATAAAATAAAATACAATTGATAAGATATGATAGTAATATCGTATTAGATACTGCACTTTATATAGTGGTTTTACTATAACAGCTACTGTAAAATATGTAAGTATATATAAGTAAATTACTACGGTAGATACTGTACTAGATGAAAGTACATTAACACAGTAAGTATAAAAGTCATAGACATCACACAGTAAAGAAACATAGAAAATACATTTGACATGTACATATACATTTGGTTGATACATATAGAACTTGTCGTACAAAACATGAAAACAATCATGGATTACTGTAGTTACCGTATGATCGACCACTAGATGGTATACTTAAAATACTATGGCCTAGACAACCACAAATGTCTAAACAGTACCATACTCAACATACAATCTACTGTAGGCTACTACAGTTAACATACAGTAATTCACATTAGACATGCAGTACTGTAATGGTTATATACTTAACATACAGTATTTTATAGGCCATATACCTAACATACAGTAGCCTACAGACCCATATACTTAACATACAGTGATTTACAAATCGTATAACTAACATACAGTAGTCAACAGAATAAGATACTTGCATACAGTTGTCTACTGATGACCATACATATAAGGATTGTGAGTATAGTAACCAGGCGCTGCCGGCATAGTCGGATAATGACCATAGTACGTCGAGTATATGTCGTACGGACTGTAAGCACCACCATACGGCATCATGGCCTTATCATAGTGCTGAGCATACAACGCCTCAGCCTTAGCCTTATACGACTTCTCTTTACACTGCTTCAGGCTACGGTAGGCCAATACCAAGGTAATGGCTCCAATCAACAGGAAAATTACTCCAATCCACGCAGTAATGTAAGACCAGCCATAGGCGAAACTGGTGTTCTGTTTCAGCACCGACTGCCAGGAACGATAGTACGGTGACATTTCTAACATATGACGTTCTTGGTATTGGATCCAATGGAAGAGGGCTATCGCTGCGACTTGGCATAGCACTGAAATAGTTGAAATTAGAGAAAAATGGCAAGAACTTTGTTTACAAAAGACAAAATAACAGGAATTTTCTTTACAAGACAAATAATGGCAAGAACTTTCTTTACAAAGCAAAAAAATTGCAAGAAGTTTCTTTACAGATCAAAATATGGCAAGAACTTTTATTACAGCTCAAAAAATGACGAATTTCCTCCAACTAGCAAGAACTTTCTTTACAAAGCAAAAAACAGCAAAAACTTGCTTCACAAGGCTTAAAAAACAAAAAAACATTATTCGTCGTATAACTTGTCACCCGCAGCGTTCACAAGTCCTAAATAAGAACTTTTCTTTAAAAAATAGCAAAAACTTTCTTTACAGAGCAAAAAGTAGGAAGAACTTTCTTTCCAACTTTCAAAAATATCAAAAATTGTAATTTTTCGTATAACTTGTCACCCGCAGCCTGCACAGCTCAAAAATATGAAGTAAAAACAGAAAAAAGTTTGTTTCAAATCTAAAAACGGACCAGAACATTCTTTACAGCGCTAAAAATTGCAGAAACTTTGTTTACAAAACACAAAATGGCAAAAACTTTCTTTACAAATAATAAAATTGCAATTATCTGCGACCCATCGTATAACATGTCACCCGCAAGCTTCAAAACCCACAAATAATGTTCTTTCTAATAAAAATGGCAAGAACTTTCTTTACAATGAAAAAAATGGCAAAAACTTTCTTTCCAACTCAAAAAAATGACCAATTTCCTCCAACTTACCAACAAAGAACATGACAAAACCAGTGAACAATGTCAACCTCGAGCTCTTCTTCAAACACCCAACACATCCAATGAATAGTCCAACCAGCGCACATGCCAATCCAGCACCATAGCAAATAACATTAGCCCACAAAAAGTAAAAGTGTTGTGATTGTACTGTGCTGAAGCGCTCTCTCATCGTCTGATTGGCCTTCATATCAGGGTTTTGGGCACAGTTTTGGCCAAATTTCGAGATTGAACCGATTCCAGATGGCACATCGTCTGGGAAACATACGTGGAAGAGACCGTAGTTACGAGGAAAATAGATGATTTCATTGAGATCGGTGCCTTTCTTCACTAATGAAGGCAGGTTTCGGCGGAGGACCTGAAAAATAGAAGTTGTAAAGAGAGCGTTTGCCATTTTTAATTTGTAGAGAAAGTTCTTGCCGTTTTTTGTTTTGTAAAGAACGTTCTTGCCATTTTTTAATTTGTAAAGAAAGTTCTCGCTATTTTTCTTTTTGTAAAGAAAGTTCTTGCCATTTTTATCTCCGAAGGCAATATTTATGAATTTTGCAGCCTGCGGGTGACAGGTTATATGAGAAATGCTATTTCGTGTTTGTTCAGGCTTTGTAAAAAAAGATCTTGCGATTTTTTGTCTTGCAAAGAAAATTCTTGCCATTTTATGGTTTGTAAAGAAAGTTCTTGCAATTTTTCGTTTTGTAAAGAAAGTTGTTGCTGTTTTAACTAGAAAAAACAATATTTGTAAGTTTTGCAGCGAGCCAGTGACAAGTTATACGATGGGCCCCATTTTTTGGTATTTTCTATTTTTTAATGTTCTTGCCACTTTTTGTTTTGTAAATAAAGTTTTTGCAATAAAAACTTTTAAAAAAACGTTTTACTATTGAAAACATAAAAACTTGTAGTTTTACCACGTAAAATTTGAGGCAATCGACATGTTTTGTTTTGTTACGACGTAAAAAAGAACATAAGTGGGTCAAGGACGGGTCTTTAATCATTGTCTCTTATCTCCGTCTGTTCCAAATATGGAATGTCAAAAATTCGGGTATTTGGTGGTCTTTGAGCAGAAACTTTCTTTACAAAAGTTGAAATGGCAAGAACTTTCTTTACAAATCAAAAAAATTGCAAGAACTTTCTTTACAAAACTTAAAATGGCAAGAACTTTATTTACAAAACAAAAAATAGCAAAAACTTTCTTTACAAATAGTAAAATTTAAAAAGTTTACCGAATATTCAGCCCAATTGTCGGTGAATCCAGCAATGGCAATCAATGCCACGCCAATTAACGTGAAAACGGTCGAAGCCGAATAGGCCGCAGCTGAGGCCATTTGATTAAGTAGTCGAGCTGATTTCTGTGCCTATTTATAATTGAGGGAACACCAAGCTGAAAAAAAATAAAATTTTAAAAAATTTGATTATTATTTTTTAAAAAAAATTATTACCACGCACAAAAAAAAATTTAAAAGATTTAAACTTATCTACCCCTTCCCAACAAAAAAAAACACGCCCTCTCTCTTCCCAAAATCTCCACCCAGTTCCCTAAAAATAAAAGAAACCAAAAAATACCCCCCCTCCCTCCCCCCTCCCCTCCATCTTATTTTCTTTACTTTACCCAACTCTACCTTTACCGACCATACCTTACCTTACCCTACTCTCCCCCACCCTGAAATCGGCCAAAATCACCACCCCTCCCAACCCCCTACCTTACCCACGCCTTCCCTACCAACTGACAACTACATATGTATATACTATAATACATATGACATTACAAACCTTACGCAACTTAAAAACTTATAAAGTAATCCGATCAAGCTGTTTCAAACAAACCCCCAAAGGCGCAAGGAAACACAAAAAACATTCCATACAGTCTTTAAACAAAAAAACCGTTAAAAGTCATAGTAAAACCTGCGCGAAAAAAAGGAATCTGAGAAAAAGAAAGATTTTCTACTTTCTCAAGTAAAGAAAGGAGAAAATTTACAAGGTAATTTAGAAAACTTCAAAGAGGAAGGAGTGGTATACACAAGTTAAAAAAAGAAAACAACACCCTACCCCACCCTACCCTACCCTACACTACCCTACTTTTTCCTACCTTATCCAGTGTTTTGCCCGGACCGGTCCGGAGCGTTTTTCACCGGTCCGGTCCGGCGATTTTCGGGTCCGGTCCGGTCCGCAAAAAAATTTTTTTTAATTTTAAAAAAAGCAAGGAGCGCTAAAACTGCTTTCTTTTTGCTTAAAAACTCCTAAAAATATGTTTTATTTGCAATTTTTAAAACAGTTTTACTAAAATAAAAAAAAATTTTTCTTCCGGACCGGTCCGGAGCTTTTTCTACGGTCCGGGTCCGCAGGTTTTTGGGTCCGGTCCGGTCCGGTCCGCAAAAATGTTTGTTTCGGTCCGTCCGGTCCGGCAAAACACTGACCTTATCCATCCGTAGTATTACCTTAACCTTGCCTAATTTTATCTGCCCTACTCTTAAAATTTCCACATTTTGGCTTGCTTTACCTATATTAATGCCTTACTTTTGCCCTAATTTAGCCATAACTCAGCATTAGATTTCCTATACGCTGAGCTACCGTACTCTACGTTGCTCTATTCATCAGTTACTTCTTCTTTATCGTTGTCATAGCTTTACCTACCCTACCCTACCCTACCCTACCCTACCCTACCCTACCCTATTCTACCCTACCCTATCCTACCTTGCCCTACCCATGCACTACCTTACTTTCCCAACCTACACTATCCTATTTTACCTAATCCTGTGTCTAAAACTACTCAAACGAACTATCGATACTCAAAAGCTCTAGTACAGATCTTCAGATGTAAGTTTTAAAATTTTCACAAAAACCCGGAAGCCAAACCACTGTCTACTCTCTTCTCCCACACCACCAGATCAAGTAGACCATTCTGATGTAAATCGTTTAAAAATACCCTAAAAATCGACTGAAAACTTCAGAGCGAAATAATTTGAAACCTCAACAAACAAACCTGATGACAAACAATCATAAAACAGCTAACGGTGTTAAAGAGGTGAGGGGGGGGAGGAGAGGACTGTCCACTCTTCGTTTGTAAAAAACAGTAAAGCTAGCGGATAGGCTGTTGAGAGATTTAGACAAGCTGACGGGAAAGACGAGGAGGGTTGGGGGGAGATATTCGAATAGCCATGTTATCTAGCTTTGTCTGGTCAAAAAGTTTGAAGAAAAATAAAGTTTGTAAAGAAGATGGGCATACACTCTTAAAAGTTACTGTAGGCTAGCAAAAAGAAGTGCTAAACACTCAATTTAAAAACTTTGAAGCACGTTTTTAAGAGTTGAAAATTAACTTTGAAATTTTGAAAAAATCTTGCGTAAGTTCTTTTTTCTCAAGTACCTGCGCTACTACGTACGTAATTAAAACGAGAAAAAAACCGTGAAAAACACGTCGTATAGATGTTTTTAAATACTTTTTAAACCAGCCTAAACGTTTGGTCAAAATAGAAGATGATTCACTATTGACAACAATTTTTAAAGCCTTCGCCTTAGCCGTAGCCTTAGCCTTTAGCCTTTAGCCTTAGCCTTAGCCTTAGCCTTAGCCTTAGCCTTAGCCTTAGCCTTAGCCTTAGCCTTAGCCTTAGCCTTAGCCTTAGCCTTAGCCTTAGCCTTAGCCTTAGCCTTAGCCTTAGCCTTAGCCTTAGCCTTAGCCTTAGCCTTAGCCTTAGGGTTAGCCTTAGCTTTAGCCTTAGCATTAATTTAAATTAATTATTTATATTAGATAATAACATTATCTTACTTTATACTTTACCGTTGCCCTACTATATCTTTACTCAATCTCTCTACTTTGCCTTCAACACTATCCTTACTCGATCTCTTACTGTTGTCTAACCTTAACTTATCCTTCTTATTACAATAGCTACACCTTTGAATTTTTACTATTATTCTAGCAAGGTCCCACCCTACTTTTGCCTTTCTATAACTCTCACATAATCTTATCATAGCCCTACCCTAACATACCCTACTGTACCTTTATTATACCTGTGCCATAATCTCACACTAGCCCTACCTTGCCTTTATCTCGAATTAGTAAAACATAAAATTTAAATTCTCAAAAAAACTCTTTAAAAACAGTCAAAATCATCCCTCCTTTCCACACAATAAAATGCTTGTTTACCACAACCAAAATGAGAGTATTTTTTGGAAAACCTAAAGAAATGTTTTATGGACAGGTGAGTGAGCCTCATCGCGATCGACCTTGCCAAATAAAGACGACGCACTTTTATGCACTCGCACAAGTGCCATCGCTTTGTTTGGCCGGATCGTGACCCCTGTTGCGCTTAAGACCTTTCTTGTTTGGTCAAAATTAGAGGCCTATATGCTATAAAAAATGGCATTTTGTGTGAGATGGTCCTTTTTTGACTATATCAATTAAGTTTTAGACTTAACTTAGTTTTAAGTTTGACTCGGCTTAGGCCTAGAATAGGCATAGATTAGCCTTAGCTCAGCCTCAGTCCTATTCTAAGCTATATGCTCAGCCCCAGCCTCATCCTTAGCCTCTACCTTTGTCTTAGCACTAGCCTTAGCTTCAGTTTTAGTCTGAGGCTTGGCTTATCCTTAGCTTGAGCTTAGCTTAGGCATACGCTTAAACTTAGGCTTAGCTTAGATTAGTCAATTCGGCTTAAACTTAAAAGTAAGCTTAGAATTACGGTTAGGCTTAGATTTATCTTTAGGCTTGGGCTTAAGCTTAGGTTTAGGCTTATTCTCAGGTTTAGGTTTAAGTTTAAGTTCAGGCTTGAAATCTACTAACCAAAAAATCGTAAAAAAGTGGCTAGCCCCGGTCAAAACCTAAATTTTTTCAATAGCTAATTTGAAACTCAGTCATTTTGCTTGCCAATTGCCATACGCCGATCATATTATAATAGATTGTGTCACACAGCGATGACCTTTTGTAATGCCCGAATGACCTCGACCATAAGGCTTGAATGACAGAAAAAATGACTGGGCATGGCCAAATTTGAGGCTTATTTTTCTATATGTAAGCTAAAAATTGATTTTTACCCAAAATTTTAGTTAAACTTTTAAAAATTTTTAAAAAATCAATATTACAAATTTTTTACACTTCGTTCACATAAGTATGATACTCAATATATTTTTTGAATTTTATACAAAAAGATGTATGAAAATTGTCCAAACTAGCTTATTTTACATTTTAAGTCACTACAGCTACCTCAAAAGCAAAAAAATCAAAAAGCAAAATATGTGACATTTCGTCCACATTACCATTGGTTTTTGTAACTTCAGCTTAAGGTTTTAAAAAACATATAAAAACAACTTTTTACTTTTGTCTTCAAGCAAAATCAATCGTAAAACAAAAAAAACAAAAGCTTTTAAAGTTGTGGCATTTCGTCTACAAAAATATTGGTTTTTTGTTTAAGTCAATATAACGCCTTTACACTTCGGAAAATACATGTTCTAAAGCCGAGGTAGTGAAAAAATAAGTTAATATCTTTTTGAAATTTCCATTTTTTGTAAGTTTTTAATCAGCAAACACATCGTTTCTAATTTGTGACATTTCGTCCACTAAAATATTGGTTTTTTGTTTGAGCCATTATAATGACTTTAGACTTTCCAAAAACACATTCTTAGCGCTTTGTAAGTAAAAATAACTAAATATCTTTTTGAAAATTTATATTTTGTATGTTTTTATAAATATGTTCTCGAAAAACCGTCAAAAAATAACAAAAATTGATAAGAAAATCCCGAATTTCATAACCAAAACGACCAAAAATATCCGTTCTCCGCAGCAAAATGTATAAAACTTGGTGGGGATTAGGCGAACCTAATATATTCTCCATCCTTCCCATTAAAAATTATTCATTTTTTGTTATTCCAACGAGAAAATCGTTGGAATTTCGCCGTTGGATGGGGGCGAAAAAGATGGAAATCGGGCGGTTCGAGACTCTCGGCGCAGGTATTCGAGATTTGGCAAACGATAACAAGGCTCAGTGATTGTGTTTGGGTTGAGAGAGTTAGAGAAAGAAAGACGGTTTGAGAATGGAATGTCTTGGTGAGTAGGTAGGCATGGTGAATGTAATAGGGAAATTGGTAGGCATGGTGAATATAGTTGGGAAATGATTAGATTTAGGTGACAAATAAGAGAAAAGGAAAGACGGTTAGAGAAAACGATGAATTTAGAGATAGTATGAAGATGAGAGGAGTCAGAAACGCCATATATTATAGTAATGTAGTCGAGAGTGATGTTTAAATAGCGATTTAGAACTTGCGCCGTGTTAATTAGAAAGTGCGTCGCAAAGGAAATAAAAGACTATTTATGACCCTACATTACTCTATCCTACCTCACCCTATTTTATACTATTCTACCCTACCTCACTTTAGCTTTACCTTAGACTAATCCCCATTTCTAGGTCACCCCTAGCCCGTAGCCCTAGCCCAGAGCCCCGGCCTTGGTCCTGGACTTAGCCCTACCTTTAGTCCGTTTAAACCTTGACCTAGACCTGTCCCTGCACCTAGACCTAGGACCTGGAATTTGACCTGGACCTATCCCTGAACTTAGACCTGTCTCTGAAACTAGACCTAGGACCTGGACCTGGACCTGGATCTGGACCTGGGCATGAACCTGGACTTGGACCGGTCCCTTAACCTAGGACCTGCACTTAGACCTGGACCTGGACCTAGACCTGGACCTAGACCTAGACCTAGACCTAGACCTAGACCTAGACCTAGACCTAGACCTAGACCTAGACCTAGACCTAGACCTAGACCTAGACCTAGACCTAGAATTAGACCTAGCCCGAGCCTAAGCATCAATCTAAACCTGAGTCTAATCCCTAGCCCCAACCCTAGTTTGTCTGCCCTGCCCTTTGCGGCCCTTTTCCCCACTAATAAAATGGCTAGACCTAGCTTTGTTTCAGTCTTGCTTCATTTTGACATGCCCAAAAAAAATAAAAAATCTAATAATACGTTATACCTAAAATTTAAGATAACAACATGCTTAACCTAATATAACCCCCCGCTTCCGCTCAAACCCAAGAAAGCATAACATACAGAGGAAACAGTAAATCGGTTAATTTCCGCCCCAATTCGTTTTGTCGTAAACGAATAAATAAATAAATCTCGGCGCACAAAAAGTGAGATCCAAGTCGTAAAAAGGAAACCTTTATCTGAAGGCCAACCTGCAAAATTAATGGCTTTTTGAAGGAAACGGCGATCGTGTTTTACTGTGGTAAAAACCGCTAATCTAATAAAGGGCTTGTTTGTGAAAGGGTTTTAATACCTATAAGATCTATGTAATACTTCTTTTATGGGTCATATTGAAGGCCTACCCTACCCTACCCTACCCTACCCTACCCTACCCTACCCTACCCTACCCTACCCTACCCTACCCTACCCTACCCTACCCTACCCTACCCTACCTTACCCTACCCTACCCTACCCTACCGTAACCAAGTGTGCCCTGGCATAGCATAGCCTGGCATAACCTATCCTAGCTAAACCTAGTCTTCTCTATTCTGCTCTGCCTGCTGTGCCCTGATATGCTGAGCTACTCTACTTTACCATGCCACAAATTATACTGCCCAGCCCTACTGTAACAAAAAATTGTTTTAATTCCCCCCCCCCTCCCTTTATCCCCGTTCTTTTAATCTGGTATAGTCAGATTCAAATTACAAATGCATACTGTACATAAAGTTGACCTTCTGTTACCAAGTATAATATAACTTTTTTCTAGAAGACATCAGGTGACTTTCAGAACTTTTCAATTATTTTCTTTGGTGTGACAATTGTAATTAAAAACACAATAATTACAATACAATAATAAAAGCCAATCCCACATTCCAAAAATGGCAAAAACATAAAACTGCACCGTGCAACCTAATAATTAGACTGCACCGTGCAGCCAATTAGAAACTGCACTGTGCAATTAAAAAAATCATTTTAAACCTATGTAAATACAAAAAAAGTTCAAAAAGTAAAAAAAAACGTTTTGCAAACCAGTTATATCCAGAAAAGTAAAAAAAAAAGTAATTTAGTTATTTACCTCCTACCAAAAATTAGGTCAGAAGATAACATCTTGTTTAGTAGTGAACAAGCCCTACATTTTTGTCTGTAAAACGAAATAGGTTTTGTAAAATAAAAAACTATGACTTTAAAAAGGCTTCTGAATCCTACCGTTTTCTATTTTTTAATTTTTTTTTATTTTTTAAGGCTGCACCGTGCAAGAACAAAATAAAAATAATGCACGGTGCAACCGAAGTAAAGAGTATTGCACAGTGCAAAACTGTTGTTGCAAAAACGACACAAAGTCTGCACGGTGCAATGACCAATTTTCACTTTTTACACTGTGCAGTTTTAAAAAAATGTTGCATAGTGCAAAGATAACAGAAAGACTGCACGGTGCAAACGAAGTAATGATCATTAGTTTTTTGCACAGTGCAAAGACGATAAAAAGCATGCACAGTGCAAAGAGAATAAATAAACAATTGCACGGTGCAATGATTATTGATTGATTGCACGGTGCAAAAGAAGTATTGCACTGTGCAACCTTAAAAAACCTTTCACAAAACCAATTTTAAAATTTAAAAAATAGAAGAATTGTGGTTTTATACCTAAATATAAATGCATTTTGTTTACTTTTCCAAAATTTCACAAAATTTCAAATGAAAAAAGTGTCTACGCAAGTAAAAGTTCAAAACCAGACCACTTCATAAAACACTTCAAAGGCTGGTATTACCTAAAAACGTAATTTTATAAAATAAAAAAGATTGTCATGTACATTGAAAAAGACCTGGAAATATAGGAAAATTTATTTTTTGTAATTTTATACCTAAAATAATTCAAGTTTTACCTCAAAACCATAAAATTATACCTAAAATACCACTTTTCTACCCAAAAAAACCTAAATCTACCCCACCCTTTCCCCTTCAAAACGATCAGCAAACACTTTTTGTAAATGTTACCCAAAACGCTCTGTAAATACAACGTAAAAGACATTACTTTGTTACCCAAAAAAGTTATAAAATCTTGACCTTCTCCAGCCACAATGGTGAATAAATAAAGAAAGGTCACGAAACTGCCATATTCTGGCGGTTTCAAGGTTCCCCCCTTTTGTAATTCTAATATAGGTCAGGTTATTACGAGGTTTGAACGTAAATTGGGTAATTTTATTGGTTTCACAAATCGGAGGGTTAAAAGTTTTGTAATTTAAAAAATTTTAAAATTTCAAAAAAAAATTTTTAATTTAAAATTTTTGAAAAAAATTTTATAGTACGTGACACTACTCAATGCTAACCTAAATTTAAAAAAAGATCATCACCTTGTAAAAGGTTAGTAATAAACCAAAAAAGTGCTGCACGGTGCAACTATACAATGCTTTTGCACAGTGCAATCTCAAAGAGCAGTCAGTTCGAATTCAGCATGTCACAATAATCCAATCAAAAAGTTTACAATTATACAAATGTTAACCATACCCTAAAACAATTCTCTGACAATTTTTACGACATTACTACATTTAGTTTTGGCATACCAGACCTTGCACAGCGCAAATAAATAATTCTTTTGCACGGTGCAGTCTCAAAACGCACCCGGTTTAAATTAATTATGTTACAGTAATCTAATCAAAAAACTTACTATTACAAAAGTGTTTACCATAGCCTAAAAGGTTTTTATAACAATTTTTACGACTTTACTACATTTAATTTTGGCATAACAGATCATGCACTGTGTAACTAAATAATTATTTTGCACTGTGCAGTCTTAAAAGCTCACAGTTCAAATTTAATACGTTACAGTAACGTTTGTGCAAAATTTTTTTAAAAAATAAATTTTATTAAATATATACACGTTCTGAACTTGTAAACCAAAATAAAAAAAAATTTGAAAATCCACCCCTAAAGTAAAACAAAAATTACCACGCCCAATTTTTTATTTATAATTTATTATCTTTCGTTTGCTACAGTAAAAAAAATCTTTTAACATCTCCCACGCCTCTTGTACCCCCAAGAACCTTTGTATGCCCTGTTTTACCCTGCCCCCCCCTTGTAAAATATTACTAAAAACCATACCCCAGTAAAAAATATAGCTCCAAAAAATGACCATACCACTGAGCCCCCCCCCCACCTATCATCTTCAGAGTGATTGTGCAAACAGTTTGACTGTTGACAAAAGCCGTTCGAGTGGTCGGAAACGATGATGGAATGGCGATTGACGCCTTACATGGAGAAGAAAAGACTTGTTTCGTGGCGAATAAACAGCTGAGAACATCTCATAATGTGACAAAAAACATTATATCCGACACGTGTTTATTGTAGATCCGACTTGGGTAAACATTACGCAAGGCTTTATGAGTTTTGGAGGTATTCAACAATTTCTGTTTTAAATTTTTTTTGGGTATGGGAGGACCCCCCCCCCTCCCCCCCCAAAAAAAATTTTTAAACAATTTTAAACAAATGCGGCCTTAACTGGTCAATTAAAAAAAAATTGTTTATTTTTTTAAGTTATCGCTTCTCACTACTCCTTCTGAATCCCTCCCTTAACACTGACCTTTTCCTACCCTTTAACTATACTCAGAAGAAGAAGATATGCCTACATATTATATAAGAAGAAGATATTCTCACCTTTATAAGGTAAATAAGACAATAAACGATTACATCCTTTTTATATTGTCGGCTAGCTAGCAACGTATTAATATTATAAGGGATTGCAACAAGAAGAAAAACCAATTCCACAATCGGATATCCGCCGACAATTAACGTTTTATATGACTAGACAATCTTACTTTTGTAGTTGATTAATCACGTTAAAAAAGCAACAATATAATATCTTGTTTTTTATAAAAGGCTAAGGCTAGGGCTTTCAAAATTTATTTATTTTTTAGAATAACATGAGTTTAAAAACAAGTAAAAATCATAAGAAAATGCCACATTCGTTTCAATGATACAATTATTGGTTAATACAATTTACAATTTGATATTTCAAGTATCTCCTATAGCCATGCGGATCGTCGTTGTATATTTAAGGCATGTTTCCGCCTGGACCTTGCAAAGTCGGAGTCTTGTACTCTTTTTGATTGCACACATCCACGAATGTTCCGTCAGCGTACTTTAAAGTAAAATCACTCGAACGTTCCTTAAGACGTGCGGAATAGATTTTTACAACGCGTCCTTTTGCCAGGTCGTACATAATATACTCTAAGTCTGTATCCACTAGTACTTGTGTTCCTTTGTTTATGAGATGAATAGCAACTATAGATTGAAATTTAACTTCACTGAAGTCTAAGATTTTACAATCGTTGTTTTCAATGGTAAGGTTGCTTAACAGCACTTGTCGGCCAATTGAAGAGCAACAGATTGTGCCCGTGTAAGGACAACAAACTAGTTGTTTTCCGGAAAAGTCAGCAACTTCTTTCTTCAGTTTAGCTTGTATTGAGCGATTTAATGCACTAGAAAAGCAAAACGTAAGAAAAAGGTTGTGGTTAGCGGTTACATATGCCAATTTTATAAAAACTTTTTACATTAGTCTGTATTAAAAATAATTTATTCTACCTTATTTTAGTCTTAGCTCTTACTAATTAGTGATCCAGTCTTAACATTAGCTTTTTATAGTATTAATTAAGTCTAAACACTTACAAAGCTGTAGCCCAAGTTTCGTCTTTGAGACGATAAACCATTTGTTTGTGACATAGTCTTCGAAAGTTCAGTGTTGTTGCTTCAACCGTTAGTTTGTAGCAGTACTTGTTGATTTGTGCAAAATTACAAATAGTTTCAACACATGTTACGTCTCTTAGAATTTTTGTCCATTGTGCGAAATTACAATCATCTTCAATATATTTGGTGTATTTTAGCATTTTAGCCCATCGCACAAGATTACAAGGATCTTCCACATATGTTGTGTATTTTAACATTCTTGACCAGAACTGGAAAATTTTATTATATTACGTTTTAATTTTTAAAATTTGGCAAAAATTAATTTTTTAAGGGTTTGCTTTGTCGTGCTAAAATTGAACACTGTTAAAATCAAAATCTTACCTTTGGGCACATTTCGTAAATAACGTTTGTCATCGTTCCAAATTAACAACTTATCACGGACCAACAATTGTAAAACAAAGCTAAAAGCTAAAGCTTGGGTTTTCTCGCGAAACTAGCAATAGAACTGACGCTATATACTTGCGCTTCCTTTGCTTCTTTATAAAGACCATGGTCTGTTATAAAAATAACGCGCCAAATCAAAGGTACAAAAAATTCTTTTTTTTATCTTTATCATTGACAAATCATTCTTTTATTTTATAAAAATACATATATATATAACAAAATTCTTTCATAATCTACCCAAGAAAAGAGAAAGTAAGTAATTTTTGTAAGCCTGAAAGTCAACAAGAGTAATCTTTGTTACAAAGACCAATAACAACGTCAATAAACTAATCATTTTTGACTCACACTATCATGACATTTTTGAAAACACTCGTTGAATTTAAAACTTGTCCAATATAATGAATGACTTTAATTATTCTAATGAAAACAATATTTATATTAGTTTGTTTTGTATTTTCAAGTGTTTTTGGGTGGTTAAAGCCAACTTGTGGGCTGCGTAAATCAAGATTCAAACGAATAATTGGTGGAAAGCAAAGTCAAATCGAGGAATGGCCATGGGCCGCGGTTGCTATTGTTGATGGCTATGGTAAAATACAAGTGTTGTGTTTTCCGTATTTCATTGTTTCTAGTTTTAGTCATATGATGACAACTAAAACAATTTAAAAAGAAAGGTTTTTAAAGTGTAAAACATTTATAACTCTTGGATTTTAAAATTTTTGATTAAATTATATTTTAAAAATGACAGTTTGATAATATTGATACTGTTACTCAAAATCAAAAATTGCTTTAGTTCAATGCTCCGGAAGCCTAATCTCAGAGCACCATGTCTTAACCGCCGGTCATTGTTTAACAAATACCAGTGCAAAGTAAGACATAGATATGATCAAAGCTAGGACAATGTGGAGGGGGGGGCGGGGGGAGAGAGACAGAGAGAAGGAGGACCCTTCCCTCTACAGAAAATGCACAAAAAGAGTTTTCAATTGTCAGGTACCAGTGGCTAAAAAATTTTCTTGTCGTTCCTCCCCCCCCCCTCTAAATTTAAGTAGTATCAGAAAATTTTTTTTTATATTGTTCCCCTTCCTCTTAAATTTGAAAAAAAAATTTTAAAGACGAAAATCATAAATTTAAAAAAAAACTTCATTTCAGATACCAAGTTCGTCTGGGATCTTCAAAGGCAACCAGTGGTGGTACTTTACATTCAGTCAAACATATTAAACTTTATGAATATCTTGATTTGAATTCAAATTTTATAAGTTATGACATAGGAATCCTAACCTTGTCAAAAGAAGTCAAATTTAGCTCTGATGTTTATCCGATATGTTTACCACGGTTTGGTGTGACTAATGGATTTGCCACAGTAGTTGGCTATGGTATGGATAATAAAAATGACAGTAGTTTAAAGAGCAGTGTTGTTGAGTTGACAAATGTTGGGAATTGCAATTTGTAAGTTTTTTTTATTTTTTTTCGTAAAATACAACTTTTGTTTAGGGTGTTGATAATATAATATTATATAATTTTAAAATCAATTCAATTTTTTTTAAATTTGAAAAATTGAACAAAAAATAGTGTAAAATACGTTGTTTTATGATGCTATTTATAAAACAAAAATTTCGTAATTTAAAAAAAAATATTGTTTGAAAATTTAAAAGTTTTCAAATAACTGATACAAGACTTTTGTTATCCAAGAAGTTCACTGTTTAATTTTTGAAATGCAAATTTAGCGCCTTAAAACAGTACAGTCGAACATTATACCTGGACATCAAGTCTTATTACTGTGGGGAAGCAAAAGATGAAAGACTAGTAAAGGTAAAACTAATTTAATTTAATGTTTTTACAAATTGCACTGTGTGTAGCGTTTTCTAGCAATTTAAAAGTTATTTGTTATAAAGGAATTTAGTTGTACAAGTTCAATATACAGAAGTTCTATTGTAACTTTTTAGGGTGACAGTGGAGGTCCACTTATGGTTTTACAAGATGGGCTGTTTTTTCAAATTGGACTTGTCAGCTTGCACACAAAAAGTATTGATAATGGTACTATTAACAAAGTTTTCCCGGGTAAAATTCATTTTTTTCAATTTTTGTTTGAAGCATCACATCTGCCTTTTAGACTTATTTACATATGACTTCTTATTAATAGGTACCGACATAAAGAACCCGCCATTTTTTACAATAAATTACAGGAAAAGTATGGCGGGTTTTTTATGTCGGCACTTAATACTTTGTCCTTTTTTAGATGGATACACTAGAATCGACCGTTATTGCAATTGGATTTCTCGTAACACTTACGGTTATGCACAGTGCATCTGAATAAAAGATAAATTCAGAAACAGAAGGAATCACCCATATTTGGTTAATTAATATTATCCTCATTTTGTGTTTGCAAACATTTATTCTAACTATTCAAAATTATATCGCGCGCAGATACAAACTAGCATTTAAAGAAACAGATACAGTTACTTAGTTAAACTACCCAACGCCTAAGGCGAATCCATGTAGGCAGCGTAATTGTCTTCGGAAATTCTCAAATCATTGTGACCTCTGCCAACTCTAAAGTAGCCTCTTTCACCCCAGCCTTCACCCCACGAGTTTTTCACAATCCAGTAGTCCTCTCCTTCGTTACCGTAGCCCACAATCACCACAGCATGGTTTCTGCCACCTTTAATGCCGTGTGCTATTCCGCCTTTATAATATTGTAGTGGATCAGCATTGATAGCGGATAGGATGGGACCATTCAGCACCAAGTTGTCGACCATTTCGTTTTCGTTCTTGCTGACCGGTCCATCGCCATTGAGTTGTGTCACAATTGGTTTGTTGTCCCAGCACGGTGGCATGGCTCCACCGTTTCCAACAACGTATGGGAAATCGTTCCAACTTGTTATGCCATTGTCCTTAAAGTACCACAAAACTCCTGGCCCAAATCCACCCTTACATCCATCGTTGTGTCCATCACCGATTGTGCATGAAAGAGCTTGTTGAACACTTAGGTCCGGAGGGCTTTTTTGTTTTCGCAACGCATAGATACTTTCGATTGTTGCTACAGCGGCAAAGGCAAAGCACGATCCACAACCTCCTTGGTTTTTCACACTGCTCACTTTGCCTTGTTCACGATAATCTAGTCGGCCTGGGGCTTTAAAACCTGTTGGCACGGCTGGTGAGGATCCTAAACAAAAAAGGTAAAAAATTGCAGTTTCTTAAACTCACTAACTCTAGTATAAGTAAACTTAACATACTATTTCCTCTAAAGTTTTCTGCTAACTGAGTGGGCTTCAAGTTAGCGTAGAATCTGTGAAACTCGTCATCGGTCAAGTCAGATAATTGAGTCAAGCCATACTGGGCTTCTGGATTCGCCTTTTGATACTTGTCAATTTTTTTAAAGGCTTCCTTTATAACATTAAACCTGAATTTCACTTCCGCATCAGTATTATACGTCTTGTTGAACCTGTAAGGGAGATTACTATACATGTTTAAAACGTTTTTTAACAAATTTAGCGTTGGATAATGCTTTTGCTAATATCTTTTTATGCTCTTTGATACTATTTATATTAGACCACGTCCTACAATCCTTGGCTTGATGCAACTCCTTTGTGCCGGGCACAAGAAACCACAGTAACAAAAAACAAAACTTACTCCAGTATATGAACAAAGAACTTTTCGTAAGCTTCACGGGCGTTTAAAGCTATATTTTGGCCAAATTTTGCAGCCAAATCTACAGCTTTTTTAGTGTCTAATGTCAGGCGATTGTAGAGAGAGGACATGGTCGACGTTGTTGGACAAGAAGCCCAAATCTTCTCGTTTTAAAGCCCCAACATTAGTAGTTAAAAAGGCACATACAATCAAAACAGTTAACATTTTGTAATGTATACAGTAGTGCACTTTCGATGTCTACTTATACTGATGGTTTAAAGAACAGTCTTATCACTTCGTTACTTAAACTTTCCCGGATCTACTTTTGTTGTTTAATTAGAAAACCGGTGGTTATAAGTTTATCAACTTTTAAAAAAAACTTTTTTACGTTTATTAACCGGAACTACTTTGTAGTATACAATAATATGCATCCGTAATTTAAAAGGTTAAATTTGGTTAAACGTAAACATTGATAAGAACACTAACCAGCGTGAAAATTCGTAGAAACGAGGGTACAGTATGTGACAAACAATTTCAGTTAAACAACAAAATAAGGTCCAGAAAAAGAATGAAAGTTGTAAACAAGTGATAAACCTATACATCCTTTTAACCACCAATATAAATACGCTACGAAAGTGCATTACCGTATAAATCAAGAAATGTTAACGCTTCTAATTGTATCTGCGTTGTTAACTACTAATGTTAGTGCTCTAAAACGTGAAGATTTAGGATTTTTGTCCACCAACATTGACCATGTTCTTCGTAGCTACAGTAGCCTGTCATCAGACACTAAAAGAGCCGCGGATTTGGCTGCAAAAGTTGGTCAAAATGTGCTTTTAGACGAACGGAAAGCTTACGAAAAATTTTTTGTTCATATACTGGAGTAAGTTTGGTTTTACTTACAGAAACACTCTTGTATAACGAATCGTTTCGGTGTATTAAGTTTGTTCGTTTTGAAGGATTTTCGGTATAGAAACACACCTAAATGGGTTTATATTACATTATTCAGGTTCAACAAGACGTACAATACTGACGCAGAAGTAAAGTTCAGATTTAATGTTATAAAGGAAGCCTTTAAGAAGATTGATAAATATCAAAAGGCGAACCCAGAAGCCCAGTATGGTTTGACTCATTTATCTGACATGACTGATGGCGAGTTTTACAGATTTTACGCTAACTTGAACCACAAGCAATTACCAACATATTTTAGAAGCGATCGTATGTTACATTTTTATATACAGGCCCAGCCGGGCCTCTTAGACCTCATAAAAAATAGACGTTGACAGCCTAACAAAGATTGGAATATTTTTAAATTAAAAACAAAAACAACCACATTTCTAAAAGTTTTTATTTGAGGATCCTCAAACACTGTACCAACAAACTTTAAAGCACCCAGCCGACTAGATTACCGTGAACAAGGAAAAGTCACCAAAGTAAAAGATCAAGGACGTTGCGGCTCTTCTTATGCCTTCGCCGCTGTAGCAGTAATCGAAAGTCTCTACGCAATACATAGAAATCACACTCCTATAGACTTGAGTGTTCAACAAGCGATTTCATGCACAATTGGAAATAGATATAACCACGGATGCCTTGGAGGACATCCAGCGGCAATATTTCGGTATTTCGAAGGGAACGGTATCACAAGCTGGGACAACTTTCCTTACAATGCTAGCGGTCCACCTATCCCACCGTGCCTTACCGACTTGCCGGTTGTGACACAACTCAGCGGCTCCAAACCGGTAGAAGAAAATGAAAACAAAATGCTGGAGAATTTGGCGCTTAACGGACCTATCGTGTCCACCATCAATGCGGATCCATTAATACACTACAGAGGAGGGATTGTTCATGGCGTTGAAGGTGGCAGAAATCATGCTGTTATGATTGTGGGCTACGGTGAAGAGGAAGAAGATCATTGGATTGTGAAGAACTCTTGGGGCGAGGTTTGGGGTGAAAAAGGCTACTTCAGAGTTGGTAGAGGTCACAATGACCTGAGAATTTCCGAAGACAACTATGCTGCTTATATTGATGACTAAACGTTGTATAATTTCATTAGACTGGCCTTAAATCATGGGGTTCTGACGTTTTTAAATAAGTATTTGTTCTATGAGGACGGGTAATAGATGTTAGAATTTTCCAAGCTTCATTGCCAATATTTATTAGTTTCATAAAGAAAAACGGAAATGGTGTACAACATGTATATTACAATCAATTTATATTGTCATTCATTGTGAGCAAAAACGTGATTTGCTTGGAAACAAAATTTTTGCAGTTTTTAAGGCGCAATTTGTAAAAAAAACAAGTAATTTGAACGATATAAATGAGAAAATTTGAACAATATATTGAGAAGTCTATTTAAAAATGACATTTTTTTACTTTTTGCCGTTTTAACTTCAAAGTTCGAAAAAAGGAAATTTTAGAAAATAAAGTTGTTCAAATAATTTTGAGCCTCCTCGCAAGCCAAATTTTCGAGCTTAAAAAAGCCCTGAATTTTTTGAACAACCTAATGTGATAAAAAAAACAGTCATTTTTTGGGACTAACAACCTACAACAATATATTAGGTTGTTCAAATAATCCTGAGCCCCCTAACTTCAAAGAATTGCGTTCAGAAAGGGCACAGAATTACCTTCTTTCATTTTTAAAAAGCATGCTCAAAATACATTTTTCGATTTAAATATGTCATTTTTAAACAAACCCTCCGTGTTAAAGACATATTTAGGGCATATTTAGATAACAAACGTTAAAAACGAAAACTTTAAGTAAGAACTTTTGAAAAATTAAAGTTTAGACAAAAAAATTTAAAATTTAGGTAACAAAAATAAAGGTTAGTAAAGTGACTAGTTAACAACAATAAGTTAGTTCGCTGTTTTTGAAAAAAAGAGGTAAAAGACTCCGTTTTGACCAGATTTCGATAAAATCCGAAAATTTAGGAAATGATCACGTTCGACTTGCCAACGTGCCGTTCCATCGAGAAACTGCGTTTTAATTTGGTCGATTTTTCGTTGAGTTTCTTCTCTTCGTAAGCCTGGGAGGTGGCCTGAAAATTTGGAGGTAAAATACGAGGTATAATCATTTCTTTACTACTAATAAGAGTTATTACCTAAAATTTCAAATTTATCCCCTTATCAAACTAAAAGAACACCTTACCTCCAACTTAGAAGCCCTTTCTTTGCTCAACGGCTTCGTGGGTAGTGGTATATCATTGGCAATGGCCAAACTCCTCAAATCGTAGTAATATTTGGCGTAAACCGAGCTGGGTACATTGATATTGAATTCTAAACACTCCAAAAACTGCCGTTCCAACTCGTTCATGTCATCGATGTTGGCGTTCTGTAAGATTTGACAAAAGTCAACGTTCCACACGGCTTGATCGTCCCAAACTTTCGAAGCCAACATAATGGCGCCAAGAACGATGCGACGCCAGTTAGAGGGACATAGATCGATTTCGGCGTAGTTCAGAAGACGTTCGATGTAGACCAGGGTTATGATGGCGCATTCGGCCGTTAGTTGGGCCGCTTGGAAGAGGAGACGGACAAACTTGTAGATGGACTTTTGAGTTGGGTCTTCGTTAGGGTTTTCTTGAAGGATTGAGTCCCTCTGGAATTAAAAACGGTTAAGATTTGAGTATAATATTGCCTAAAACTAAAGTAACATATTTTAACCCCAATATTACTCAAAAACCCAAAAACTTTCCAAAATCTCAAAAATTTTCAAAATGTTATCTAAAAACCAAAAAAAAAAAAAAATTCAAAATCTTACCACAGCAATGGGATGTAACCTCTCCTCAAAAATCTCCATCAACCTTTCATGACCTCGGTTACTTCGATTCAGAATATGATAATATACAGCGAATGACATACACAACACCGTATTCTTGAGATGCGGCTGAGATATCGTAGAATCGTCCAGATAAATGGTGGAACATGAATTCCATCGTTTTAAACCCGTTTTGTGTTCGTTTATTTGGTCCAGAAAATAGCTTGAATACCTGTTTGTTTTTACTGAAAATTTGAGGGTTTTAGGTGGTAATTGATGGGGTTTTTGGATGTAAACGATGGTCAAGATACGTGTTAACATAAAACAATATGTTTGGCTTCCATATCTTTACCAGCTTTAAGGCTACATCTCAAAAATAGCAGCCAAAACTTCAAAAATCTATATTACACTAGGTAAAACTGAATAAAACTAATGTAGCTGCCAAAACTTACTGTTAATACCACTTTGACTTCTTTCGATAAATGTCGGAGGGGCTGTGGGATGTGTAGATGGGTCGGATTCTTCATCATCCGGCAGTTCTCGGTCAATAATATGCGGTAAAAAGTTTACCGACACCTCCCGACCAGGTACTGTCGTGTGGTTTTGTCCCTAAAATAAATAATTAATAATTTGTTTACTTAAAACAACCTTTTTTAGTTAGACAAGAAACTGCTTTAACTTTTTACATTAACAGATGTTAATATATTTTACTGTTTTCGGCAAAAAAGTTATTTTATCTCCACCTTGTCAGATGCTGCCTGAATTTTAGAAAAATAATGAACTGCCCATTGTGTGGACAAAAGCAGAACCCATAACTATTCGAAATCCGTGACACATCTATATCATACCTAAAAACCAAAAACAAACACAAAACTCCTTACCCTGAACGAATGATGAACATTTTTGTGCTTCTTCTGATCACTTTGCTTTCGCTTGAAACATTTGCACACGTTACCCATCTCACTTCCTTCCCATTAGTGGCCAAGTTGTGAAGTGGCCAAGAAGAAACAATCTTCTTCTCTAACTAAAACCTCAAGATAAAAAATGCGAGATAAATTTGTTTTTCATTAAAACGCGAACAATGATAAATTAGTCTTTGTTTCGACGAAATTTCGGACAGTTCAAATATTTTTTGAAAACATTCAATTGACAAATTGATCGAACACAATCTAGAGATGCTTTACATGTTACAAATTCAACATTTTCCCAGTATTTTGAGAATAAACAACAATATAAGCCATATTATCCATGGTACCATCAAAAGAAAAACCAATTTTGCATTGTAAAATACGTCCACCAACAGTAAACCCTAACCGTAAAATTAAAGTTTAATCCACTTATTACCCCAAAAAACCTTAATATCTATCAGTTTCGACAGACCCGACCAGTTTCAACATCTTATATTAGACTAGACATAAGATAACTAGCAAAGCCAAGAAATCTTATCAAATATCTTGCAAAATAACCCTAACAACCTTGGCCCAAAAAATACGTAACAAATCTCTATCAATTGGCCAAAAAATCCGGCGGAAAAGCGGCCGTTAACACGAGCCCTTAATCCCGTTCGGCCGAAGCCATAAATATTGTCCAACAAAATTTAGTTCAAAACGCCGGAGGGAATTAAATTACACACACGTTCTGGCACTGAATATAACCAAGCTAAAACATAATTATCCAGATTTTCATTTGGTTTTGTTTTAGAATTTCAAAAAGACGAGTTATTAAGGATAACATTGAGGTTTGCCCAAAATTTTGTGAAATTTAAAGTCTACTACAACATAATAAAATATTCGGTGGTTAAATTACGATTTCCCCATAAATAAAGTCGACGGAATCAATCACGAGAGTCGCGAAGATAAAATATTTCCCGAAAAATTCTTCGATTTTCGCCGTAATTGGAGTTATGGACAGAAAGCGTCAAAATTTATGCATTTTTGCTACCTTTATGGAAAGAAGCGTAAAGTTTAGCGAGAAAACGAAAATTTTTATGCAGCAACGTGATTTTTATGGTAAAAGCGAAAAAAGTTATGCACAAACGCGATTTTTATTTACAAAAAACGTTAAATTTTATGCATTATAATTAAGGAACGTGAATGCGCGGAAATTCGCGATTTTTTCGAAATTTTGCTTTTAAAATCGCGATAAAAGTTTGAAAGTAGTTTCGAAAATGCATTTTTATATTATTTTATGTTTCTTTCATCTCCAATCCACATAAAACCAAAATTTTATTGGAATAAAAGCGATTTCGGGCGGCTAAAGTTTATCGAGACGAAAGATTGGGCATGAATAATATAGAGATTGGCTGTTGATAAAGCGAGAACAAAGGCCCGCTCGAAAATAGTCTATTTACAAGCTTCGAATTGTAAATGTGAAGATAATCGAGTTATTTTTGAAGTAAAATGGCATAATGGATTGGTATAGGTATATAGGATAATATTGATTGTTTTGGGCCAAATTTTAATAGCTGGCTTGTGTTAAAAGGTGTCGAAGATTCTACACTTTGTTAAAAATGGCAATATGAGCTATCAAAGCAAAGAAAAGTTTTTTAAAAGCTGAAAACCATCAAGTTAGTCAAGTATCATGGATAATATCGCTTGTTTCGACGAAATTCCGGTTGGCAAGGACTTCTAAATGGCTTTTAAAATTTGTAGCGGACCTAATAGTATGTATAAAATAGAATTTTAGTCAGTTTATAGTAAGAAGGTATATCGAAAATTCGAAAACCTCAATTCAATCACGTATCATGGATAATATCGCTTGTTTTGCCTTAATTTTCAACAGACAACTAGTTTAAATTGCTTTTAAAATCTTTAGAAGATATTTTAATTGCTTAAAATACGATTTCAAGTCCTTTAGAGTAAGAAATTATATTGGAATTTCGAAAAACATCGTTAGTCAGAGATCATGGATAATATCGTAAATTTTTAACCATTTTTCGGCCTAAAAGCTTAGTAAAACCTTCTTTAAAAGCTGTAAAACCTTTTAAACCTTAGCAAAACACAAATTGCTTTGCATAAAACTCAATCCCTTTACCCAAACCTTTGATATTACACTAGATACCCATGCATCCTAGGCGACCTCAAGCGTTAATGAGCGGCCCCGACCATTGAAAAAGATATTGTTTTGGGCCGTGGCCGAGAGTCAGGAGATTGATTGGGCATAAAAAACTTTGCAAAAACCCAAAAAAGAGTTACATCTTGAGTGGTCGAGAGGACGAATGCCCTGAGGGTTTGGGGCGGAAAAAAGCGGGAGAAAGTCGCTTTTTGGCCGCCTCTTTCTCTGGCCCTCTCTGCATGCGGATATGTATGCAAATAGTTGAGAGGGGGGGGAGCGACAATAAACGGACCTGATTTTTTGGCGCGGACAAAAGAAATAAAGGAGGGGGTGAGTTGGGCGAAATTTAATTAGATTAGGGGGATTTTGAATAAAATGGGACGGTTTTAGTTTGTAAGGCAAGGTTTTTAGTTTTAATTGGTAAAATACGTCATTTGTCCAAATTAAATAAAAAAGTGGCAAGAACTTTCTTTACAAAGCATAAAATGGTAAGAACTTTCTTTAAAAAGCATAGAATGGCAAGAACTTTCTTTACAAAGCCAAAAAGGGCAAGATATTTTCTATGAAAAACTGTGACCTTCAATAACCATCTTTACTATGTGATATATAGTAAAGAAGACGCATAGTAAGACGTTGAAACGGTCTCTTCAACAAAATAAAGGCGATACGATGAAAAAACCATAAATTTCCGTTTCTTGTTTACAATAATATAAGTTTCCTATAGTTACTATGATGTTTTGCATAGGAAGTGTAGACGTGAATAACATAGACAGCTGTAAATGGCTATTATTGAGGAATAATTAAGTGTTAGTAACGTGAGAATTACAAGTTTAACCTACCCCTAAGTAGCCTTACCATAAACATGCACTATCCCTAGATAAACGTGATTTTTATGGAAAAAACGAGTAATTTTATGCACTGTTAAGTATAGAAGTTTGTGGGCCCATCTGATAAACCAAAGAATATCCCTTGTTGAACATCGTTTTGACAAGCCCTCAAACTCATTAATGTTTAATTTCTATGTCCGACACGAAAGGACAAAAACCAGCTCGTTTCGATGACTTTTCAAATTAACGACCAGTGGAATCTTCGTTTTAAAAATTTTAAATTCAAGTCGAATCATATAATGGGATAACAAGAACATAGATCAGGCCATGATAGAGTAGGGTAGGGCAGAACAGGGCAAGGCAAGTCAAAAAAAGCAAGGCAGGCTATGTCAGGCCAAAGCAAGACAGGGCAATAAAACGCAAGGCTAGGACAAGGCTATGGCAAGGCAAGTCAAGGCATGGCACGATAAGGCAAGGCAAAGCAAGGCAAGACAAGGCAAGGCAAAACAAGGCAAGGCAAAGCAAGGCAGGACTAGGACAAGGCTATGGCAAGGCATGCCATGGCATGGTAAGGCTAGGACAAGGCACGCCAAGGAAAGACTAGGACAAGACTATAGCAAGGCATGGCATGATAAGGCTAGAACAAGGCTATGGCAAGGCAAGACAAGGCAAGGCACGGTAGGGTAGGGTAGAGTAAGGTAAATAAGAGCAGGATAAGGTAGGTATGTGTAGGGTAGGATAAGGTAGAGCAAGGCGGGTAAAATAATTTATCAAATCCCAAAACTTTTAAGTCCAGCTGTTCTTGAGCCAAAACAATTTGAAGTTTTGATAAAGAATATCTCAACGTTTTTGATTAATCACTTGAGTTTATTCTAACTAAAATCTTTTTCTTTTAAAACAAATTAGCCCTCGAAAGTAAATGAAGGTTAGCAAAAGATATCTGATGCTTTTTTTGAATAGATATAGCAAAAATAAATTGGCTAAAGAGATTACTAATCTAAATCTGACACCAATAAATTAGGCCTAAATAAACTCAAATGTGACAAATGGGTATGCTTTTGCAAAGTTGAGGGAACATAGCTTTAGATATGGCAAAAACTTTCTTTATAAAGCAAAAAATGGCAAGAACTTTTTTTACAAAACAAGAAATGGCCAGAACTTTCTATACAAAACCTCAAAAACCAAAACTTATTATTTATCGTATAACTTGTCACCCGCAGACTGCCAAAATTAAATTTTTGTTAAGATTGTCAAAAATGGCAAGAACTTTCTTTACAGGACAGAAAATGGCAAGTACTTTCCTTACAAAACAAAAAATGGCAAGAACTTCCTTTCCAGAGCTTTTTATGGCAAGAATTTTATTTACAAAACAGAAAATAGCAGGAACTTTCTTTTCAGAGCGAAAAATGGCAAGAACTTTCTTTACAAAGCAAAAATTTTTAAAAATTGATAAATTTTTAAAAAATCTCACAAAAGCTGTTCTGAAATTCGAAAAAACATGAAAATGGAATTGAAACGAATAAATCAAGTGAATATGAACGGCGCCGATCTTTTTTCATCGCAGTTTGCGCGGATCAAATTAGTTTCCAGTAATTTCACCTTTTCTTTACTTTTTCATTTTGTTTTAAGTGTTCGACAAGGAAATGCTGAAAAACTGCTATAAAAATTTTAAAAACGTCAAGAAGTTTCTTTACAAGAAGAAAAAATGGTTAATTTGCAAATGGTACAATTACTTTTAAAAAAAATTAAAAAATATTGTTAACAAAAAATATTAACTGCCATTTTTGAAAATAAGTGCGTTTTAACCTTGTCTTGCCCTGCTCTGATCTGCCTTGCCTTGCCTCGCCTCGAATCGCCTTGCCTTGCCTTGCCTTGCCTTGCCTTGCCTTGCCTTGCCTTGCCTTGCCTTGCCTTGCCTTGCCTTGCCTTGCGCTTGCTTTGCCTCGCCCTTGCCTGCCTTGCCTTCGCTACCCCTGCCTTGCCCTGATCTGTTCTTGCCTTACACTTGCCCTTTCCTTTGCTCTTGCCTCTCCTTCTCCTGCTTTGTCATTTTTTGCTCCTCCCTACTTTACCCTCCACTGTCCTGCCTTGCTTTGCTACGTCCGCCGTTGCCTTGCCCTGCCCTATCTTATTCTGCCTTTTTCTGCCTTGACTTACCCTGCCCTGCGCTGCCATGCTTATACCTTACCCTACCTTACTTCAGTCTTTCAATATCTACCTGGCTTTGACATATTTGCAAGGGCCTGCAATTATATACACTGTTCTAACTTTTACGCTGCTCTACTTTACTCTAGTCAATTTTACCCTGCCCAACCTTACCCTGCCCGTTTACCTTTCCCTCCACAAACCACCAACTCAACTTTGAATGTTTACTCGAATACTTAATTAACACAATATCGAATAAATAGGACCAATTTATATGACAAACATGGAGACCACTTTACTGTTAAGCCAACGTTTATTAAAGAGAGATAGAGAGGGGAGAGAAAAGAGCGTGAGAGATGGAGAGAACGCAGAGATCAAAAGTCTGTTAACGAGATCAAACAAATAGGTACAAGATGGTGCTGAACAAAGAATACGGTACTCAAACTGGGTTGGGGATGGTGGATGTTGTGTTGTTGTTGTTGGGAGGGGTGATTTTTTGGTATTTAGGATGGAGTGGGTGATGAAAATTTGAGTTTTTTTTGTAGAATACGGATTTATGGAGAAATTCTATATTACAGTATATGATTCATACTGTACTTTAAATACGAAAAAACGTTTAAAATTTCATAAACTAAGATTCACGCTTAAGAGTCGATTTTAAGGCTAAAAATCAAATTCTAAGCCTAAAAATAAAATTTAAGCCTAATAATCGAAGTTTAAGCCTAGAATTCAATTCTTAGCCTAAGAATCTAATTTCAAGCCTAAATTTCCATCTTAAGCCTAAAATTCAATTTTAATCCTAAAATTTAATTCCAAGCCTAAGAACGAAACCTTAAGCCTAAAAACTTAATTTTAAGCCTAAAATTCAAATTTAAGCCTAAATGCCATTAAGTCATTAAAATAACCTAACTACCGTATACCTTATCTAAATACCACCCTCATACCAAAAAATCCCAATCTGACACAAGCCGATGTATAGTACTGTAAAGATCGTACTATAGCAAAACAAAGATCGCACTGTACTCAAAAAACGATAGTACTGTATTGAAAACCGTACTCAACAGAAGATGATACTGTACTCAACAGAAGATGGTACTGTACTCAACAGAAGATGGTACTGTATTCAAAAGAAGATAGTACTGTAATAAAAAGTGAAGATACTGTAATATAAATAGATTTCTTTCGTACTGTAGACGAGTCCTGGTTCCTGTTTCTTATTGTTGTAGGTTCTTCAACAATGCGCTGACTTCCTCGGCGACACAAGCGAACACCAACTTGTACTGTTCCGCATTGCCCACCATGCCCTGGCGTTGGTCGCGCAGGAACTCTAATGAGCCGGCGATGTTCAGCTCTTTGATACCTACAATAATATTGAAGTTAAGCATTGAAATTTTATATTGAAGTAGGTAGTGGAGGTAGATGCCTACTACAATATAAGAATTAAAATTTTATTTTTTTTGAAGCCTAAATATTGGTAAAATACGCACTTCCGTCAGTTAAGTTTAAAAAAGGCCTAGAAATACAATTTTAAGCCTAAAAAGTACATTTTAAACCTAAAACACAGATTACCGAATTTTAAGCCTAAAAACCAAAACTTGAGCCTAAAAATTGAATTTTAAGCTTAATGTTCAATTCTAAACCTACAAACCAAATTTTAAACTTAAAAATCTAATCCTTAGCTTAATATTCAATTTTACGCCTAAAAACTAAACTTTAAGCCTAAAACCCAAATTACCAAATTTTAAGCCTAATAACCAAATTTTAGGCTTAGAAAATCAAGTTCAGCCTAAAAATAAAGTTTAAGCCTAAAAACGTAAATTAGAAGCCTAAAGAGCACATCTTCAATCAGAAATTATATTTTTAGCCTAAAAAGTGCTCTAAGCCTAAAAATGTAAATTTAAGCAAAAAAAACCAACTTAATGTTTATGAATTAAATTTTAAGTCTAAAAGTGAATTCTTAAGCCTAAAATTAACGTTTATAACTGAAATTCGCTTCTTAGGCGTAAAAATTTAGTTTAAGCCTAAAACCGTAATTTTAAGCCTAAAAAATTAATAATAACGACAAAAATCAAATTTAAACCTAAAAATCAATTCTAATCCTAAAAAGTCAATCCTAAGCCGAACAATGAATTTTAAGCCTAAAATTTAATTTTTAGACAAAAAAATTTTTAAATTTAAAAAGCTTCAAAACATACCTTTAGTAATCCGATTAATGACCATATCGATCAAGCAGTAGGTACCAGTTCGCTTGGTACCAGTACTACAGTGCACCAAGATGGCCGACTGTCTACCACGGTAACTCTTGTTGACCTTGCGACGGAACTCCAATAACGATTTGACCGAAGGTGGATTACCATCCTCACTCCACGCCAAATAATGGAATTGGGTTACGGTACGGGTCTCGTTGGTTACGGTGTTCTTGAGGTAGAAGGATCGAACCATGTAGTCTTCGCTCCAGATGTGCTCTGAGACTAGGTGGACCTGGAAATTGAACATTTAAACTTATTGAGGCAAGAACTTTCTTTACAAAGCAAGAAATGGCAAGAGCTTTATTTACAAACCGAAAAATGGCAAGAACTTTCTTTACAAAGGACACAACATTTTTCTATCGTATAACTTGTCACCCGCAGCCTTGCACAGTAGTAAAAAAAAAGCTTTTGGGCAACGAAATGGAAAAAACTTTCTTTACAAAACAAAAAATGGCAAGGAATCATCGTATAACTTGTCACCCGCAGCCTGCACGCTATAATAGCTTTTTTATGCTTTTTATCACAAAATATGGCAAGAACTTTCTTTACAAATCAAAAAATAACAAGAATTATATCATTTGAATCTTTACAAAGCCAAAAATGGCAAAAACTTTCTTTACGAAGCAAAAAATCGCAAGAACTTTCTTTACAGCCCAAAAACTAGCAAGAACTTTCTTTACAGATCATAAGATCGCACGAACTTTCTTTACAAAACTAAAAATTCAAAATTTACCTCAAAGATGCCATAAGTCTTGGCGCCTTCTTCCGGCCAGTACTTTTGGAACTTCTTCTGTTCAGCTTGATCAGTCAGATTCACCAACAGCGTGATTCCTTCAGCCCAAATGCATTGCCAGAAATCGACCAGAGTCTGCTCGGTCGGATGTTGTGTAGCAATGTAAGCGGCCTGTCTTGGGTCGCTGTCGGTAATCCTCGAGGCATTAACATAGGTCTCGTTGCCCAGCTCGTCCTTCACCAACACCACGTTCTCATCGTAAGGCAGAATCGACTGGTCGACGTTTTTCGACTTGTTCGCTTCGGTTTGGCCAATCAAGGATTCGGCTACGAGGTTACGGTAATCGGCTACCGACTTCCATTGTTCTTCGATCTTCTCGGGCGTGTCAAGGTACTCTTGAAGGAAGGACTGGAATTTAAAATGGTAAGAACTTTGTTTACAAAACAGGAAATGGAAAGAACTTTGTTTACACAATAAGAAATGCCAAGAATTTTCTTTACAAAACCTTTTATGGCAAGAACTTTTTTTACAATATAAAGATGGTATTCATCGTATAACTCGTCACTTGCAGGCTGCAGCACAGCTCTTTTTTAAATTTTAAAACAAAAATAAAAAAAAAACTAACACGTTTTGTAAAATACGTCCCTAGGAGTATCGTTTTTGTGAAGTTTTAATTCTTTTAAATATTTATTTTTAAAATTTTGAAAATCAAAAAACTCACCAAAATGACGTGTCCAGTAGAAATGTCCAAGTTACATGATTGTAGCAGAGCTTCATCTGGCCTGAAATTACAATTTATATTGGTTTTCTCACAAAAATTGCAAAAACTTTGTTTACAGAACATAAGAACTTTCTATAAAGCAAAAAATGGCAAGAATTTTCTTTACAAATCATAAAATGGCAATAACGTTCTTTACAATACAAAAATAGCAAAAACTTTCTTTACAAAACATAAAATGGCAAGAACTTTCTTTCCAACCCATAAAATCAATTTTTGAAAGAACAAAGTACAAAATTTTCAAAAATTTTAATTAAACTTGTATAAAAAATTTTAAATAAGTATTACTACATCGAAAACAGGTGCGATTTAGTATATAAAAGCTGTTTTCCGGAATGTAGAATTAAATATTATAGTACTAACGAGTATGTTGAAATAAATTATTCATTCTGTGATTTGTTATGTACTGTAATATAATCTTTTTTGCAACGTATTGCATATTATTATAACAGTGTAAAAAAAATTTTAGGTAACACTTTTAGATTGTACAAAACTAGAAGTATATCTAAAAGTATATATAACATCAAATAGTACTGCTGTGATTATAAACAACACAGAACTATGATGTTATGGTTGCCTACAGTACTAATATAGTATTTAATATGACATTTCAGGTAACATACCATGAAGAAGTTGAAGCCGACTTTCCGACAGTAGTCACTGGGTCTTGGGTCATTCTTTGACGGCAGAGCTCCTGAAATGAAAAAATATTAAAAATGGCAAAAACTTTCTTTACAAGATTTAAAATGGCAAGAACTTTCTTTACAGAACATAAAATGGCAAGAACTTTCTTTACAAAACTTGAAATGGCAAGAACTTTCTACAGAACATAAAATGGCAAGAACTTTCTTTACAAATCAAAAAATGGCAAGAACTTTCTTTACAAAACTTAAAATAGCAAGAACTTTCTTTACAAAACTTAAAATGGCAAAAACTTTCTTTACAAAACTTAAAATGGCAAGAACTTTCTTTACAAACTTTAAAATGGCAAGAACTTTCTTTACAAAACTTAAAATGGCAAGAACATTCCTATTTTTCTTCAGACCCTCAAAAACTTCTAATCTTCCCCAATACCCTACCTCATAAGAAGCCTTTCCCTCCAAACAGTCGACCACCTCAGGGAAGTTGCTTCCCTTGTAGTTTCGTCGTCGATTCCTGATCAAATGAACCGCCAAAACCCCGACCAATGAAGTGATAGTGAAAGCGCAGATGGCCAGAATTGGCATGAAAAGCCAATCTCGGCCAGATTTCTCTACCGGCACCACATCCACGCCTGATCCGATTCCAGTCTCATCAACGTTGACTCCAGCCAACGTTTGAATGTCCTTTCGGCGTTTGTCTGCAATGTTGTAGCATAGGCATATAATGATTTATATTTATAGATTTTTTGGGACCAAGATTGCAGTCACTCGTATTTTTACATTTTTTGGCCATTTTTTTGTTTTTAAGTTGCACTGTGCAAATTAGCTTTTTTCCGACTGCACGGTGCCAACTTTGAAAGCCTTGTAACATATGATATTTTAGGTATTATGGTCTCAAAATTAAAATTTAGGTATCATAACTAATTTTTAAAATGCTGTTTAAAAATTTTTCAAAAATTTGAATTTTGCCTAAAGTTCTAGAAATTCAAATTTTTTGCACAGTGCAGTCAAGTTTGAAAGCATTGTAACTTATGAAATTTTAGGTATAATGGTCTCAAAATTGAAATTTAGGTTATTATTGTACTACCTAAAAAGCGGATTAAATATTTTTTAAAAATTTTTAATTTGTTTAAAGTTTTGACATACAGTGAAACTCCTGTATAACGAAACTCCCGTATAACGAACAACTTTTAAATCCCCGGCCAACACTACACAGTGCATTTAAAACTCCTGTATAACGAAATGTATTATAAATTTTTTGCACCGTGCAAAAAACAAAATTTTTTAAATTTTTAGGTAACAAAATCATTTTTTTTAACTTTAGATGACATTTCTTATCAAATTCTGATATTTTTTATCTTCTCTGACAAAAATCTCTATTATTTTTCATAAAAAAGACTTCCGCCTAGTACAATATTATGGTAACGTAATTAAAAAATAAAAAAATTTAATTGCATTATGGCTTCGGCGTCATGAAAACCTTTATTGAAAATACGAAATTAATTGACTTTACGTTACAAATTCGTGCGATACAATAGTTGTTTACACTGTGCACAAATTTGTTGCAAAAAATTGAAAATTTTTGGAAATTGTAGCTCAAAAGTGATGATAATGTCATTTTAATGTGGGTGGATAGTACGTTTTGCAATAGTAAAGTTATACTTTAAGTTCAAATGATAACATTTTTGACTAAAAACTACAAATTTAAAAAAAAACCTTATTTGTTTGCACGGTGCAATGAAAATATAACTTTTGCACGGTGCAGTCAAATTTGAAAGCGTTGCAACTTATGACATTTTAGATAATATGGTCTCACAATTTAAATTTATGTTTTCCTTTTAATATCTAAAAAGCTGTTTAAATTGTTTTCGAAAATTTAAAATTCGTCTAAAGTTATGATAAATATAATTTTTTTGCACAGTGCAAACAAATTAAAAAATAATTGCACCGTGCAATTTATGAAACCTGTAAAAAAACTTCAAAAATGTGTTGTTATTGTAAAATACGGACCCACTGACCAATAAAATGTAAAAAATTCAAAAAGTTACGGTAACTTACAGACAGCCTGAGCCACTCCACTCGCGCTAGCCACTCTTTTGTCGTTCTTTTTGTAAAAGTCATCGATTCTCGAGATCCTGAAGCTCAACTGTCCATCATCGTATTGGAAGTCGTTGAAGTAGAGATTGTTGGGTGTAGCGATTTTCTCATCCAAAAATGACACAAGCTTGTACAGCTCGTCCTCGGTGATGTTCTCTCGGCCGACTTTGATGTAGACGCGGTTACCTTCGACTCGTTGGATGTCGCCCTTCACTATTTTGTGCTCTACATCGGCTAGTCCTGAAAAATTTTTATTTTTTTCCTGATTTAGCAAAAAAATTAAATTTTTGAAATTTTAAAATTTTTTTGAAATTTCGAAATTTGAAAAAAATGCTAAAAATACAAATTTTTGCTTTTAAAAATGATTTTTTACACGGTAAGATACGAATATAATAGTTTATGGCCGAAAAAGTGAGAAACATGTTGCATCGTATAACATGTCACTTGCAGGCTGCAGGACCCTCTTTCCTACTTTGAAGTGCATTTTTCGAGCCAAAAGAGCATTATGTACCATTCTAGACTAAATATAACATTTATAACTATACTTCCTATATTAAATTACAGTAAACCGTCCATTTCCTACTGTATTACTATGGTATGTTGAATAATACATTAATCTCGTACAGTGCCTGAATGTCATTTCAGGATGTTATGTGGTTGTTTATCGGTCCGATAATGATTTCAGAATAACATATTCGTATAGCGTAGCGTGTGAGAAATGTCAATTTAACTATGGGAAGGGGTACATGTACATCATTTATATGGTATATAGGTTCACATAGTAAATAAACATAACATATAAGTAGCATTATAGGTTTGTATAGTTACGTATGGTAATGTAATGTCATATTGTCATTTAATTTTTAAGAAAAAGCGGTGTAAAAATACCTAAACATCAATATCTACACCTATACCTACTACAATATACGTCATTTTACTGCAATAACAAGCCTTAATGTAAAGTAATTTTGACTTTCTTACAAAGTATAACAAGCCTTTCATAAATAACTCAATAACAACATTGTTTTTGTTATTACTTCAAATGTTTTGCCAATTATGACATCAAGCTATTTTTAAACCTATGTCAATATCCAGGACATGTCTATTATAGATAGTATACTTGTCAAGGTTAATACGCTTCTATTATTCAATTAAAAAGCAATACAAGTCCTTTTTTTTAAATTTAAATAATGCACGGCGCAAAGGAATATAATTTTTGCACGGTGCAGTCAAAATTTAAATTGCCATAACTTTTGGCATTTCTAATAAAATGACTTAAAACGTTAAATTTAGAAACCTATTTAGACGCTGTTTAAAGTATTTTAACCATTTTTCAAAAAATTTGAGATTTGTCATGATTTATGACCAAAATTTGGACTGCACAGTGCAAAATATAAAATTTATAATTTTTGCACGGTGCAGTCAAAATTAAAATAATTATAACTTTTGATGCTATAGGCAATATGGCTTAAAAGTTTAAGTTTAGACAGTCTTTTTAATGTTTTAAATGCGTTAAAAGTCATTTTTGAAAATTTTCTATTTTAGGCATAATTCGAATTTTTAAAAAATTTTTTGCACAGTGCAGGCAAAATAAAAGTAAGTTTCGCACCGTGCAAGCTTTAAATTTTGAAGAAAACTCAAAAAAAAATGTTTAAAAATTGATTTTCAATAAAATTTTTCAAATTAAAATTTTTTTTTGAAAAAAAAAATTATTTTTTAAAAGCCTACCCATATCCTCATCGACAAACTTCTCAATGTCCTTCTTCAACAGCAGTTGTTGTCCATCGTGTTCAGAGTTGAGTGGTACCACTTCTTCCAGTTCAGCGTTGCTTTCGGTTGGTTCTTCAATTTCGGCTGTTGCCAAAGTTTCTTGAAGTTGCACAACGAATCCGATGAGTTTCTCCAATTGGGGAGTGGTGAGTTTTTTAATGTCGGACTTTTTGGTTTCCAGAATGTCATCGACGTACTGTTTCAGCTCTTTTTCTTCGTCATTGCTCAGTTTCGGGTCTTCGAGAGATCTTTTTTCTGGAAAAATGTCATTTATTATAGCATATTCGAAATGAAAAAATAATTTTTTGTTTTGTGAAGAAAGTTTTTGCCATTTTTTGGGATAAAAAACAAGTTTTTTTTTGGCGTGCAGGCTGCGGGTGACATGTTATACGCTGACTTGTTGCCCACTTCTACAAAACAGGTCTTTTTATTTTGTAAACAAAGTTCTTGCTATTTTTTACTTTGTAAAGAAAGTTCTTACCATTTTTTGTTTTGTAAAGAAAATTTTTGCCATTTTACATTCTGTAAACAAAGTTCTTGCAATTTTTTATTTTCCATCGGAAGTCACGACAATTTTTTGCTTTCTAAACCTTGTTTATGACATTTTTTACCAAACATCATATCCGATATTACACTTATCAACCCCTACACAAACTTATATTATACTACACTGTTCCGTTGACGTTAATCCTTTCGCCCTCAGGGTTTCATGAATACCCCTAATTAATAAAAGTTTTATAAAGCACTAGCGTAATTATGTGCTCTCACGCGAACGTGCTGTTCGTGGTATCTTTATATGTCATAAAACATCATGTTGGTCTCAAAAGTGTAAACAAAGTTTTGATTTTTTAATTTGGAGCAGAAACTTTCTTTACAGTGCAAGAAGTGACAAAAACTTTCTTTACAAAACATAAAAAACATATCCATCGTATAACTTGTCACCCGCAGCCTGCACGAAACAAAAAAACGCTTTTTCTTCGTTCTTATCACATAAAAGAGCAAGAACTTTCTTTACGAAATTAAAAATAGCAAGAACTTTCTTTACAAAATTAAAAACGACAATAACTTTCTTTACAAAACGGAAAATCGCAAGGACTTTTTTTCCAGAACCAAAAATAGCAAGAAAATTCTTTTACAAAACACAAAAAAATCAAAAAAAAGTTTTGAAACAATAAAACTGACCTTTGCCATCATCTTTGTCATCCACAACATTTTCATAAACCGACTCATTCAGCTTGGCCAATGCCTTTTCGATCACAGACTTGGCCTCTTCAGCGTTGCTAACACCAGCCTTCTCCAACGCCTCTTCTAATGCATCAGCTTCTTCCTCATTCAGTACCAAAACTGGTGCTGAATCATCCTGAACAGTACCATTGGATTCATCATCACCAGCTTCAGAAACCTCCACAGCCTGTGGAATCGCATCAACGACCGGTCGATTCTCCGAATCCGCTTCAAAACCAGCTTCAGATTCTTTAGCCAAAGCCTGCTCTAGATCGGCTTCATCGAACACTAGTACTGGTACACTTTCGCCGGTCTCTTCGTCCACCAGAAGCCCTTCGTCAGCCACGATCTGGGAATCAGAAGGCTCTTCGACGATCTTTGTCACCGACTGGTCGAGTAATGGGGCCAGTTCTTGGTTGGAGAGGATGAAACGAGATGCTTCTTGCTTACGATCTTCTTCTGCCACTTCTTCGTCGTTCAAAAAAGTCTCGATTCGCTGAAATTTTAAAAATTAAAAAATTTTTTTTTAATTTTAAAAATGGTTGTTTGAAATATTTAAAAACAATACTGCATAACCTAAAAAATATCATTTTTAATATCATTTTCACCTATTTTAGGCCTAAAACAACAAAAAAGTTTTTGCACCGTGCAAACAAATAAAACGATTGCACAGTGCAGATTTTTAAAAATTCATATAAACTGCCATCTTGAATGAACTAAAAACCATTTTTTAGATTTTTGTTATCAATATGTAATACAAGTTTATCTTGCATTCCAAACTTTTAAAATATTTTATCATAAAGGTCTTTAAAACAATGGCAAAGTTGAGTGCACGGTGCAGTAAAAAAAAGTGGTTGCACCGTGCAATGAAAAAGCATGTTTAGGGATTTTGAAATAATTTTAAATAGTGTAAAAATATTTTATTACAGTAAAAAATTGCTATTTTAGTATTTTAGGTAACAAAAATTTTTAATTTTAAAAAAAAAAATTAAAATTTCAAAAAACTCACATTGATAAGCTGCAGAACGTTGGCCGGACTTCGCACATTACAAAACTCAGTGTCATAGCTCAGATCGTACACAACCGACACCTTGAAGTAGGCCAGAACACACTGTGCCATGGCATCTTGCCAGTCGAAGCCTTCATTGGCCAATCGTTCCAACTCGAGCCGAAGCAAAGCACGTTGAGGTAACGTGAGGTCGGAATCGAGCAGAAGTGGTGGCGTGTCGGTGGATTGTTGGTCGAAACATTGGCCGAACAGGCCGTCCGTTATGCACGATTCACCATCTTGACATAGGGTTTCGTCCAGAAGACAGCCTGCAAATATTGATTTTTTGGTTGATGGAAAGAAAGTTTTTGAATCTTTAAGCTTGTTTTAGTATTTAAAGATAAAATTTTAATTAAAAAAGGCTTTTAAAAGCCTTAATATACTAATTACTACCCACGATGTTACCTATTGTACGTTGTGGTAGGTCTTTTTTTCATATTTTGTTCAAAAATAAGCTCATGTTTAATAGATGAGACAAAGTAAATTGAATAAATTATTTTTGGTTTAATATGCATTAAAATTTCACCGATTTTAAAATTTTTTATGTTTCAAAAATTTTAAAACACAAAAAGAAAAGTCTATTTCTTTGCACAGTGCAATATTTATAAGACTGCACAGTGCAGTGAATTAAGAACTTCACCGTGCAAACTTAAATGTAATGATTGCACAGTGCAATAGTAGAAAATAGCTTGTAATTAATATTGTAAAGAAAGGTTTTGTCATTTTAAGCTTTGTAAAGACAGTTCTTGCCATTTTAAGCTTTGTAAAGAAAGTCCTTGCCATTTCTCAGTTTGTAAAGAAAGTTCCTTCCAAAATATTTGCCTCAAAACCGTAAATCACATTAAATTGCGGACAATAACAGTAATTAACTGTACTAAATGACGTCGATTGTCGCAGTGCTTATTAACAAGTCTCTTGTTTACTGTCATATGACCTCCGCAGTTCTTCCGAATTTGATTTGCTAATGTCTATAGTACGATGCTAATGGGATTTGGGAAATTTGAGTATATATGGCAAAAACTTTTTTTACAAAATGAGAAATGGCAAGAACTTTCTTTACAAAACAAAAGAAAACATTAATATATTATCCATCTTATAACTTGTCACCCGCAGCCTGCACAATCCAAACATGCGCTTTTTCTTCCTTTTTATCACGTAAAACAACAAGAACTTTCTTTACAAAGGTCAAAATGACAAAACGTTTGTTGACAGGACAAGAAATGACAAGAACTTTCTTTACAAAGCAAAAAATGACAAGAACTTTCTTTCCAAACCTCAAGAGTATTAAATTTCGACTCAATTTGAAAAAAAAACTGTAAACAAGGTCATTTTTGGTCACAGCTCATAGTCATTTCCTGTTATATTGTCATTCCACTACTATTTACGTGATTGCGCAACCTCACCCACTCTCTCTCTCTTTTCGGCCGAAAAAACTGTGACGCAATGTGGCGTCATTTTAACATGTTTTTGTCTTCGGGGAATGTTCGTATTTTTAGCTCCAACTTCAACGTCGACTGGGGAGACGATGTTTTGAGTAGAATATGCACATAAGATAACAGATAATGATATCAAAACAGAAATGGTGGGGAAGGCACGTACTATTAAAATCGGAAGTGAAAAAGATAAAAATAAATTTTAAAAATTTTTTTGAAATAGTAAAAAAAGTTCTTGCCATTTTTGACGCTCTGAACAAAAATTGGGGGCTGGCGGCCTGCGGGTGACAAATTATACGACGCATAAGCTTTTTTCGTTTTGTATAAAAAGTTTTTGCCATTTCTTGTTTGGTAAAGAAAGTTCTTGCCGTTTTCAGATTCAAACCCCCATTGTTTGTCATTTCCTTTAACAAAAACCTACTTCTTGTCATTTTTTCTTTATTTTTTCATTGGTTCCCATGCTCAAGAGTCCAAAAACCCTTAGGGACTAAAAGAATTTTGAACTCAAAGACCTTTGAAACTTCATTAAAAAGTAATAAACCTTGTCAATATATCGTTTTTCTTTTGTTTTCAATAAAAGTGCATTTAAAACATTATGTCTGTAGGGGTAGTTAAAAGGAATGGCATTTAGCATCCAAGCCAAAATGTCAGACTTCTTAAAATTAGCGAAAACTTTCTTTACAAAACAAGAAATAGCAAGAACTTTCTTTACAAGACATAAAATTGTAAAAACTTTCTTTCCAAAGCCAGAAAAATTACCAGATACGCATTTTACAAGTCTTAATATCAATGTTTCTACCTTTTTTTGCCAAATATCTTATTATTAATCCACGCTAAGCAGCTTTTCCTCTATTTTTACAAAATCTCAAAAATTACAGTATCCCCCCCCCCCCTCTTGAAACCCTATGTTAAACAAAAAATTAAAACTCGCAAACTAAGCCGACAGATTAAACGACCAGCGGATAATCTTAGCGAAATTGAATTTCACTCAACGAACGTCATGTAGCAACAAAAAGTTCCTTCGAATGAAATCACATTGGTGCTATACAGCATGAGGTCATACTATGTTAAGATGAAGTCATGTTTCGTGTTTAATCTGTTTAAAATGTGTCATTTCGCATTGTAAACAGTTTTTTATAGCTATTGAAAGACGTCTTCTCAATTGACTTTGTCGCAATTTCGAGTTCAAAGTGCACGTGCAAGCGGTTTTGAGAAACTGCACGGTGCAACGACTTTTTGGTGTTTGCACGGTGCAAAACGTTTGGTAAGTCGAAAAAAATTGAAATTTAGCAAAAATATTCAGAATGACACTATCTTTAATGGCTGTCAACTATTTTTTATAATTCCCTATTTCAGTCCAGTTATAGCCATTTTTTAGGTTGCACCGTCCAAGCAGTTTGGAAACTGCACGGTGCAAACAATCCGGCTGACGCAAAAAACTTAAATTTTAAACCAGAAGATTCATGGGTCGTATTTTACAATGACTGTCATCTATTTTCAATAATTTTAAATTTTAACCGAGTTATAGCAATTTTTTTAATTTGATGCACGGTGCTGAAAATTTTTTTAAATTGTCATAACTCTGCGATTTTTAATTCAAAAATAGTAAAACTTGATTGCACGGTAACGAATAAACTGTTTTAACAGGTAGCAAAAGTAAATTTTGTTATGTCGTCATTCAACCAAGTTATGACAATGTTTTCACACCTTTGCACCGTGCAACCAAAAAAACGTCATTCTTCTTGCCGTTTCTAACGAAAAAACAAAATATATGCCACTTTTTAAACTCGAAACCGTAAATTACATCTTCTGCTCTTTCGAATCACATGCGTTATATAGCATCATTTACTATAGTATCCCACAGTTATGTTGGAATTGGCAACAAAATTGTGTTGAAGCCATTAATCAAATATTCAGTGCGATTCGTGAGAAAAACTGATATATTATACAGTAATTCGATACGGTGCTAATCGAATTTCCGGCCATACTACCCCTCTCCTACGCGTTCCTAACCTTTAACATGCCTTGAGGGCAATTTGCGGTAATTAGCCATTAAGTTGGACAAGTTCCCTATTTTTAACAACTTATTTTTGTTCACCCAACGTCCTACGGCATTTTAAAACAGTTGTTGCGCCTATTTTTGCGGTTTAAAAGAATATTTTTAGCTGCACCGTGCAAACAATATTTTGACTGCACGGTGCAGTCGAGCAAAACTTGTTGCTACATCCAAACCGCTTGTCCAAAAATTTTTAAAATTTGCGAAAAGCAATTAAATTCAAACCTAAACATGTTGCCAAAACCATTTTGCCTCACGCCAACTTTATCCACCCCCAACAACATCCCGCAGTCCACTGCACCGTGCAAACCAAAAAAATTTTGCACTGTGCGTCATTTTCGAAACCTCACGGTTCAATAACAGTTGACATCAATTAAGAATAGTGCATTACAATCAAAATAGAGTAGTTCCACAATGTTTTAAATCCGATTTCAGAAAGGTATGTGTCGTAAAACGTCACATTTAATAGCCATTTCAAATTCATAAAAATAGGGAAAACGGCCGTTTTTCTATTAATACATTAAAATAATGCACTTTAGAGGGGCTGCCAAGTGTTTTGGAATGTTCATTTTTATTAAAATTTTATTTTTTTGAAATTTTTTAAAATTTAAAAAAAGTTTTCCTGAGGCAAGAAGGGTAAAATTTGTCTTGAAAAAAACCTAGACCTATTTAAAATGCCCAAAAAAGGGCAAAAAAATTTAAAAATGCAGGAAATGTTACCTAAAATCTCAAAATATTACCTAAAATTTATCAGGAATAATCTAAAAACTAATAAAAGTTATTCAAAAGTTTTAACTATTACCTAAAAAATTTTAAAAGTGGACAAATCCCTAACTGTTACTTAAAAATTAATCAAAATACCCAAAAATTACCTAAAATTGACCAAAAACCCCCAACAAAACCCCAAAAATACCCTAAAAAACCCTAAAAAAATTACCCCCCCCCCCCTCTTGCTTACCTTGATAGGTGGCGGCCTGAACAGTGGAAACGAAAAGGAAAAGAGCCGAGTACAGTACGAGGAAATACGACGGGCCGGTCATGCCCGTGGAGCGCCAGTCGCCATAAGCGCCTTGGCCAGAATGCACCGAAAGCGGGCGGCGGTGGGGCTCGGCGGTCGGCCGGCCGTGGTGGTGGGTGTGGACTGGGGGAGGCGGTGGCCTCGTCGTTCCGTTCGCTATTTTGCCGCCGTGCTCGTGAGTACGCGTGCTATTTCGTGGGTGCTCTGGCTGGGAGCTGGTAGAGGCGGTGGCTGGCGGGCTCGTCGTTTTGAACGGTCTATGAGGGGGGGGTGGTGGAGGGGGTTGAGTGTATGACGTCTCGTCGCTGGGAGAGGTCTTCGGGTTTCCGTCGGGTTTGCGAGAGGATCTGTAGCTTCGGTGCCTTCAGCGGCTTCGTTTTTCGTATCTTTCTTTATTGCCAGCCGCCTATAATAGGTATTTCTTATTGCCAACCGGTTGTCAGCCACTTTCCTTATTAGCAGCCGGCTGCCAAACGTTTCCCTTACCTCTCACCGTTCTGTGAACCTCTCCAGTACCTCTCTTCGTCGTCCAAACCCTTCACGATATGTAGCACCCCTCTTCAAAGCCTTTCAGCTCTGTTTTTGTAGTTATAAACACCCCTTTCGTATGTTATCTCGTAGTAAAATGGTCACTAGACGTCGCTGCAAAGCTTTATATTAGTTCTAGGAAAAATACATGGTAGGAAGTGAACATACGGCACGAATTTTACTCAAAGTATGGGTTGTCATAAAACTAGATTACCGACAGATTTGAGGCAAAATATTAGGTTGTAACGAAATGTCACAAAAATTATTGGACTTTTGAAATGACTTAAATTAACTTAGAGGTTGTAAAAGCCACATATTTAAATGATTTTGACATTTTTTTTATATTTTAGAAAGTATGACGAAATGTCACAAAAAATTATTGGATTTTAATTTTTGACAAAACTGCAGAAAAAAATAAATTTGTTTAATTTTTTAAAGAAATTGTATGCTATTTGTTAAAAAAATACCCCGCCCTGCTCTACTTACCAAAAATTTAAAAAAATTTCAAATTTTAAAATTTTCTCTACCCCCTCCCCCACTCCCACACACTCTCTCTTCCCCAACCCTATCTAAAGGAACGGCACACCAAAAACAGTGTAAAATGAGCCCCCGCCTTTCGGGCCACTTTTGCGTACACACAGAGTACGAGGGCAATTTATTAAAAACAGCCGGCTAGTATATCGTATAGTACGCGGGCCGACGTCATGAACAACAAAATTATAGAAAGCGGATGAGTGGAACAAAAGCAACGTGTTTGAGACATAAAAAAACAATTGTAAAATACGAGTATTATTGTATTATTGTTAAAAATTAAATATTAAAAAAGTTTCTAAATAAATTTTGCACTGTGCAGTCATAACTGGTTGTCTCATATTACCAGCTTCATATGACTAAATTTTAAAAAACTTGAAACGCATGTTCCTAGTACTATTCAAAAGCAGTACATCAAGTTTTGGTTCATAAACACTTTTGTAAAAAAAGTTATGTCATATTTAAAAACTTGCACGGTGCAATCTAAATACAGATTGTATATGACAAACCTTTTTTGACAAACACTTAAAAAAAAATAAAAAACAATAATTTCTTAATATAACAATCAATTGTATAAAGTTTTGGCATATTTCCAAGATTGTAAAAAAAGTTACGTCATATTGAAAAATTTGAACGGTGCAGTCAAAAAATAAATTTCATGTGACAAAACTTTTATGGCAAAAAATTGTAAAAGTGTAAAATAAAGTTTGGCTGGTATTGTAAATCAGTTAAAAAAGTTTTGACATATTTCTAAAATGGTAAAAAAAGTTACGTCATATTTAAAAAGTTGCACGATGCAACCAAAATGTCATTTTCGAATAACAACACTTCACATATAAAATTTTTTGAAAATTGAAATAAATGTCATCACTGACACCAAAAATCATTATAAAACGTTCTGGACTATTCTTATTTTTGTAAAGAAAGTTATTGCCAAATTAAAAATTTGCACCGTGCAGACAAAATTAAAAATCGCAAAATTGCTTAGCGTATTTTACCAAAATTAAAACCTCTTTCAAACATCATTAATTGAAACAAGTTTAATTCAAAAACATGTGAATTGAGTGTAATATTATGAATTCCCCAAATGTGCACACGTTTATGCCCTCAGGACATAAACTCACGTCACGCAATAAAAGCATAAAAGAACAGAAAAGGAATGTTATTTTAAGTCTATAGAGTTTTTAGATTAATAAAAAAGAGTATAAACAAACAAGACACGTACTCGAAAGTAACATCACTGTGTTCCCAAAATAAAAAAGCTATTCTAAGGGTAGATAACAATGTAAAAACTTGTTTACAGCCTCCAAAATCACCTTACCCTACCCTATCCTACACTACTCTACCCTACCTTACCCTACCCTACCCTACCCTACCCTACCTTACCCTACCCTACCCTACCCTACCCTACCCTACCCTACCCTACCCTACCCTACCTTACCCTACCCTACCCTACCCTACCCTACCCTACCCTACAATTCAACACACCAAAACATATTTTATCGTATAACTTTTCACGCGCAACCTGCACAGTGCAAAACATAGATATTTGCCCTGCGCTGCGATCCCTGCTTTGCATTGTCGTACCATGTTTTGCCCTACCCTGTCCTACCTCACTTTAACTTTGCTTTGTCCCTTGCTTTATCATTGCCATACCTTTGTCATAGCCTTTCTTGAGTTTTGTCCTACCATACCCTCCCTACCTTATTCTAACTTCCCCGACAATTCAAAAAATCAAAAAATATTGCATCGTATAACTTGTCACCCGCAGCCTGCACAGTACAAAACGCTCATTTTTACCATAAAGACAACAAAATTTGAATAAAAAAAGCTAAAAATCAATTCTAAAACTTTTTTATACCGTTTTAACTACTTAAACCATCAACTTTTAATGCTAAATCCACTAATTTGTAATGAGTAACATTATTTTCCTTATTTTTCGCAAGCTGCCAATTTAATTTATGGCTTTTCCAACTTTTTGGGATAAATTTAGAAAAGCAGGAAGCCCTAATATGTGTGACTTGACGTGCCCAACCAAATTACATTAAAACTTTCTATTTTCAGTATTAAAAATTGCTTTAATGTGGGTTTACACGGGCTCAACCGGATGTTATCAACGTTTTTGGTTACTAAGCTTCGGGAAAACTGTAATATCTTTATCAGAATGTTATTAGTAACAGTAAAAATTTTGTTTTATCATTTTTAATCTACAAAAGTTAAGTTTAGTCTATGACAATTTAGAAAAAGTTGGCTTTTGCACGGTGCAACGAGCTAAAACAAAGGAAATTTATGACTGCACCGTGCAGATTTTTAAAAATTGGTCATAACTTTGTTTACAAAGTAAATAAAATACTAAAATTTTTTCTCAAGATTATCAGTACGTACTTGAAAATTTATAGCTAAAAAAAATTTTTTTATGGAAAGTTTTTTGTCTTAGTTTTATTGCACCGTGCAAATTTTTAAAATTGGGCATAACTTCTTTTCCAAAATAAATATCAACTCAAATTTTTTTGTTGTGATTATCAGTACGTACTAAAACATTTATAGTTAAAAATCAAATACTTCTTTTATCAAAATTTAAATTTTTCGAAATTTTATGTACTGCACAGTGCAATTATTTTATACTGCACCGGGCCAATTTAAATATTTTAAATTGCCATACCTTTTCATACCCAACATATATCCTCTATTTCATTTTTGCCATTTTATTGCTCACATGCTTCTATAGTAATATCTTATACTATAACTCCTATATTCGACGAACGTTTCAATTTATTTTTTGTATATGCCCTTAGGGCTTTTAAAATGTTAAGACAAGCGCTTTATACTAGATTTAGATAATATTAAAGATAGTTTAATATTCGTACGTCTGAATGTTTACTTTTCGATATTACTACGTTATTACATTTGAAAAAAAAATTTGGACTTGTAAAGAAAGTTCTTGCTATTTTTGTTTGTAAAGAAAATTTTTGCCATTTATTGTTATGTAAAGAAAGTTATTGCCATTTTTTGTTTTGTAAAGAAAGTTCATGCTATTTTTCTCTTTGTAAAAAAAAGGTTTTGCCGTTTTTTGTTCTGTAAAGAAAGTTCTTGCCATTTTTATACATATTCATTGCACCGTGCAACATATATTTAAAAGTCTGCACGGTGCGAACTAATAAAAAACTGCACCGTGCAATTCCCATTTCAACCAATTTTTTGTTTTTGTAAACAAAGTTTTTGCATTTCACATAAAATACCAAAACTGTTATTCAATGTCATTTTATTATTGTCATAAAAGTGGCAGATTTATGAGTAGTAATGGCAGTATTTACACGTAGGTGACGTAGACATGACGCCATGAATAAATTCCATTTCTGGAAGTTGAAGAAGCAAACTTTTGCCATTTTGAGACGATTATAAGATTAAAAAACGTTGGGGAAAACGTAAGCAACCTTACACTAACTTTATTTTAGTTTAATGATTATAATGATGACATTTGTGTAAACAAAGTCTGGAGGTGGAAAGAAAGTTCTCGCGGTTTTTGAAATTTTGGATTAAGTGATGAAATTTTTAAAATAGTCTTTTGAAATAAAAAAAATTGTTTTTGGGAGAGTATGGAGTTTTCAAAGAAAGTTATGTCTAATAAAGAAGTTTGCACGGTGCAATAAAAACAAAAATTCATAGGGCTGCCATTTCTTATCATATAAAATACAAAATCAGCAAATGTGTTTTTAACAATTATAGATTGGCATATATTAAAATTGTTGCACTATTTTAAATTTGTAAAGAAAGTTATCGCTATTTAAAAAATCTGCACAGTGCAATAAAATCAATAATTCATAGGACTGCCATTTCTAATAAGACAAAATATAAAAATCTATGAAAATTTTCTTGAAAAGCACAGATTCCCATGTATCAAAAATTTTTTGCAATTTTAAATTCGTAAAGAAAGTTATTGCCATTTAAAACATCTGCACAGTGCAATAAAAACAAAAATTCATAGGGTTGCCATTTCTAATAAAATAAGATATAAAAATCTATGAAAATGTTTTTGGAAAGCTTAGATTTTCATATATTAAAACCTTTTTGAAATTTTAAATTTGTAAAGAAAGTTATTTCTATTGAAAAATTCGCAGGGTGCAATAAAAACAAAAATTCAAAGAGCTGCCATTTCTTATAATATAAAAAAGCAAATTTACTAAAAATGTTCTTAAAAAAGCATAGATCTTCATTAAAAAAAACTTTTTTGCCTTTTTCAACTTGTAAAGAAAGTTATTGCTATTTGAAAAATTTGCACGGTGCAATAAAAGCAAAACTTCAAAAGAATGCCATTTTTTATGATATAATCTAAAAAATTATCAAATATATTTTTAAAACCCATAAAATACCTAACTTCAAAACAGTTTTGCTATTTCAAATTTGTAAAGAAAGTTATTGCCATTTAAAAAGTCTGCACGGTGCAGTCAAATTCCTTTACAGCTTGCACCGTGCAAAATCTTATTAAAAATGGGTTTTTTAACTATAATGTATAATTTAAACGTCGACGGAATTTGTTTTATAATTTGCAAACTAAATTTTAACTACATAATACTAATTAATTATCTTGTGATACATAATAAAGCAAGTATAATATAGTAATTACCTCAGGTAATCCCTACAAATCCAATACGACAATGTTTTAACAATAC